AAAATATTTTAAAATTTTGTAAAAGAACGTGTTTATGATCTATTTTTATATTATATTCACATTATTAGACACTCATATGTAGTTTTATTCTTTATTAAACAGTAAAATATAAAGTTTTTTGAAGTGATCATAATAATTTGATCACCCACTGTATATGAGAACACAGGAAGTAACCCGTTGGTGGACAAACTTACTATAGCCGTCATATATACTTTTGCACGACTGCTGGAGTCGTCATTTTATAAATCCATCTGACGATGGCAGCGCGCTCATTAAACAGTAAAAATTATATTTTAAAATTTTGATAGATGTTTTTATTGAGATGATTCTCTCCGAGGCAAGTAATTTTACGACTGAAAAAAAAAATTTTTTTTTTAGTTTTTTTTAGTCTTAAGTTTTTTAGATACAGATCCGAAAGAAAAACGGGGCCTGTTAATTATAGGCCAGCAAAATTACGAGGGTAATACATATGTCTGATTCGTATATTGATAAATCAACCAGCCAGAATCTTGAATATGATTATTTTGAGAATAACTCTGGTAATTCTATGAACGGGACTTTATCAGAGCCTGATATTTTACAAGAACAACATTTTAACTGGCATACTAATATTGTGTATATACCTAACTTCTCCGAAGAAGTAGAAGGAAAAATAGCAATTATGACTCTGTACACCATAATATGAGATTTTTATCAAGCTATGGGATGACGAAATTATTCCATTTTTAGTTGATTGTACAAACTTTCATGCAGATTCTATTTGTTTAAAATATCGGCCAAAAACACTTCAAAAGTATGACAAACCTACAAACCAGTAGATGAAAGATGTTTATATTTCTAGGGTTATGTTTGGCACGTGCAACAGCCAGTGTTGACATATGGATCGGAGACACGGACCATCTCCAATGCAGACGAAGACCTTTTGCTTATATTTGAAAGAAGGATCCTGAGAAGAATATTTGGTGGCATCTGTGAAAATGGTGTTTGGAGGCGGAGATACAACTACGAGGTATACTACAGATATAAACAAATATTTGGTGGTAAAGACGTAGTATCTCTTATAAGAATAGGAAGACTAAGATGGGCAGGACATCTAGCAAGATCACAGCAGAACAACCCCCCTAGAAGAATCCTTATGTCACAACCCGTGGGAAGTAGAATAAGGAGTAGGCCAAAACTCAGATGGAAGGATGGTGTAGATGAGGATGGTAGAAAGATAGGCGCAGCAAACTGGCAACGGTTGGCAATGGATAGGACTGCCTGGCGTAATAGACTTGCGAAGGTCGAGGCTCTTTCATAGGGCTGTAGCACCATTGATGATGATGATGTTTGGCACGTGGACAGACCAGAAATAAAAATGTACGAAGACTTGTTATCTTTCATCCAGTAAATTATGCAACATTTTTGCAAGATACCAAGATTTTTCAGTGTTTTTATCAGCCCCCAAAACAACTCTCTTTAGATGACGAATTTTGTGAAAAAATTGACGTTTGAAGAAGAAACCACAGTAAGCAAAGTAGCCAAAGAAGAATGGAACGGTCAGGTAGGGTTCGAAATAAGTAAATAAGAAGGCAGGTGTGACAGATGTCATACAGAGCTGGCTGGCATGGCTGAAGTAGGACTGCGCGGGTTATGTGGCTAGAATGAATGACGGGAGGTGGATATAAAAAGTTACAGTGTGTAGTCCACCAACTTTCTAACCCTGGTGGAAATGTCGTAAACATATAAATATATAGAGGACGGGGAAAGAATATGGTTGAAGGGAAAATACCTAAAACCGAGGAAGTTATTCTAAAACTTAGGACTTACAAATAAAAGAATGCATCTTTATATAGACATCTACTACAATAGTGTGGTATCATTAAGTCAATTAACAGATACTCTTCTTTTTCTTCAAGTGCCTTCTCCTATCAATGATCGACAACCAGTTTGGCAAACTCTTGTGTTTTGGGTCTTTCTCAGCAAATCGTTCGAGCAAATCTCGTATGTTTTTAAACGGAGAGGACTGTCTTCGTCCTCCTGGTGTTTGCCCTCAATCTTACCCTCGATTATGAGTTGTAGAAAATCGTATCTGTTGTTTCACATTACATGTCCGAGATACGCAGTTTTCAGATACTCTTAGAAAGGACAAAAAAGAGAATTCTATTGTAGTAACAGAAGACAAAAACTCAGAAGTGAAGTTTTAACAATTACTACTGCTAATCACCCACACCTAATACAATGTTAAAACGTAAGAAACCAACTAAATCTCATATCTATCGCATCCAAAGAAAATAATTTTGTGGTATGAAAAGATTATATTTTACCAACTAGATACAGCTATCCAGAACGCATATTTCTTCTTCTACTACTTTTTATATAGACATGACTGTCTGTTTTTCAATGTACCCCCAGTAAGTCGTCGTTCCATCGTTTTCGTGGTCTTCCTACTGATCGTCTTTCTATTGGGGAACCGTCTTTACTACTCTATTTGTTGTCATTCTACTCTTCTATTTCTTACCCACTTTTTGATGTTCTCCACCTTGTATCTACGTCGTATATCTGTACTTCTAGTTATGTCCCATAGTCTCTTACCATCAATGTTTCTAAGTGTTTTCATATCTGCTTTTTCTAATATTATTTTTGTCCTTTCTGTGTGAGGTCTTGTTTCTGCCGCGTATGTTATTGGTCTGATGACTGTTTTGTAAATTCTGCCTTTCCTTTCATTCCCAATATTTTTATTTCTCCATATTGATTCATTTAGGCAGCCTGCGTCTCCGTTTGCTCTATTCACTTGATCTTCCACTCCAGTTTTGAGCTTTCCGTAGCTAGACAATGTGTTGCCTAGATATTTAAACTCCATCACTTGTTCTATTATCAGACCTTACATCATTACATCTTAGTAAATTTGCCATTGTAACCATACATTTTGGGGAAATTAACATGTTAAATTTTCTGGCGGTTATATTAAATTGGTGCAGCATACGTTGTAAATCGTCTTCTGTTTGAGTGAGTAGTATTGCGTCGTCTGCTTAGCAGATTATTTTAAGTTATTTTTCTCCCATTTGGTATCCTTTTTTAGTTCTTACTTTTTTTATTATTTCATCTATAATCAGGTTGAATAATAGAGGACTCAGGGAATCTCCCTGTCTTATCCCATTGCCAGCTTCAATAGGGTCGGTTAGTTCTTCTTCTACTTTTACTATATTGTTTTGCTAGATATTTTCGATCGTTTTGATTATTCCTAGAGGTATCTCTCTTGCGTACAGTAAATGGATAACGTCTTTTAATTTGACCCGGTCAAATGCCTTCTTCTTCTTCTTCTTAAGGTGTCGTGCATTTCTGCGTAGGCGTCCACCGTACATCGTCTTGTCAGGTGAGATGTTAAATATTCTGGATTAAATAATTCTGTTTTTAGCAGCATTGCGAAGCATTTCATAGCTGTGGATTCCTGTCCATTGTCGAATATTGCGCAGCCATGACATTTTTTTACGTCCGAGAACTCTCCTACCCTCTATCTTCCCTTCGAGTATCAGTTGCTGAAAAGTGTATCGTTCTCCTCGTATAATGTGCCCCAAGTATGCAGTCTTCTTACTTTTTACATAATTAAAAAGTTCCCTATCCTGTAAGCCCGCTCTTCTGAGTACTTCCTCATTTCTGACCCTGTCCGTCCATGATATAAATGCCTTCTTAAGGTCCACGAAACATATATGCCGGTTTGTTATATTCTAATTATTTCTCTTGCACTTGCGTCATTATAAATATAGCGTCGGTGCATGATCTTCTCAACTTAAAACCTTGTTGTTCTTGTTGCTGCCTGGGGTGATTGCGGGATGGATTAAGTAGCTCTGCGGCTGCTATAGCCGGTTCCAAGTCCAGATAAAATGTGGAGGGTGATTGGCAAGGTTAGCAACCTACCAATCGTAAAAACAAATACTGCTCAGAGAAACAATGTACAATCAGCATTTATTCGTTTTACAGATTTTAGAAGTATCTTAATCCAAAGTCCGTGTAAATATATATGTATAAAATATTTTCATCATTTTTCAGGTGTTCATCCATTGGTATTAAGGTGGATCAACAGGTTTCAGCTAAAGTTTCTATTAAGCGTGGTGTCAGGCAGAGATGTGTTATGTCACCGATGTTGTTTAATGATTACAAAGAAGAAGATCCATTGGTGGTTTATTTCGGTAGAAGTAGGGTTTCGAGTGACCTAATCTTAGTTTATTGGATGCTTTAACGGACTGATGATTGATGATTATTGATAAACTTAGGCGGCTCCAAATATATCCATTATAACGACTCATAGAGTCAGCAGTCTATACGATAGACCGCTGAAATTTCAATATTTTATACACTTACATGTTCAGTTACAACATTAGAGTGAAATTTTATTTTCTTCTTAATATTTGTGAGAAAGGAATCTCATCTCACAACTGATATTTGAGAGACATTACTAAGGTTTAAATTAATTTCAACAATCTTATTTGCACAAAAATAGAATCCTTTTGGTTGTCTTTTACCCATGTACTGGAGAGTTAAAATTGTTAAGACAATATTTGAAACAGAACTTATCCTTATTAATAATGTCGTCGATGCAAAGCTAATGCACACATCGAAAAATAAAGGGCAATTATACAGAAATTCTAAAAACCGTCAAAAATTTTAAGTTTTAAGACAGTTAATACTAAAGTTAAATAAGTCTATGGATATAAAAAAAGTATTAAATTATTTCTTCAAGAAAATAACTAGTTCCAAAGATAAGGCGACATAGGTTGCTATTACTGAAGAGGGCACAGTAGCAAACACGTCGAAAGTGATCATATCAATATATGCATACTTCATTTTTACGAAAAAATTACTTCTGAAGATCCCTCTGTATTAAAACAACGCTTTTTTTGTGACGACTTGATCAATATTGTGATTTCAAGTAAGCAACAACTTATATTTTTGTATTTTTACACCCATAAGATAACTATAAACTTACATAAAAACTACACTAAAAATGAAATTACCATTCTAAAAAAACAATAGAACATTATTTAATACTAATAAAAATCATTCAACAGCGGAAGTTCACAACTGATTTAAAATAGTGAAACAAATTTTTATATATTATTTTAAGACGAAAATTGAAATACTATCTACATAAAGGTTCTTCCTCCATTTTGAAAAGTAAACGGACTTTATTGAAATAGGTCAAGAATTAAAAGTGAACGAAAAACCAACAAAATCCTACCCTTTCAATTTAGTTTACTTCTGTGATCAACGCAAAGCTCAAACTTTTCAGAAGTCTCCTACAAACTGTTTAGTATAGACAGTTTGTCTTTCATAATGGCAGTCTTGCCCACTTTCCTGGAAAATAATCTCACTATCGTAATATTTCCGTCTATCTTCAAAATAGACAGTATCTGAGACGACCCTATCATCATATGTCGATCAACTATTCGGTGAGGTAGACCACTGCTGTTGCTCTTCAATAGAATCTTGAGTGACGATAGCGTGTGAAGGAGTATGTGCAATGTAAATCGGATGCACCAAAGCCATCTCTGGTTGAGGTAAATTACAAATGAAAGGAAGTGGTGCAGTGGGAGGCGGCTGGGACATTTCCGGTTCTTCTGAAACTTCAGACGTTGCTCGATGGTAAGTGTGGGAGGAAGAGGCTTGGCCTACGTCAGGCCTTTGTCATTTGTTGTTAGCCTGAAGAGCTGTGTTAATTTGCGTCCATAGGTCCTTCTTGCAAGATTTTGACCTAAATAAAAAATATGATTAGCTTATAAAACATACATATTTACTCAAAATCATTTCGGCGAAGAAAATTATATTTTATCATTCTAGTACCACAATTCCCAATTAGAATTGAAAAAAAATACACTACATTTTTCTACGTTACTGTTCGGGCCAATGCTTTTTAAATGCATTCATTTTTTTTCGAATTCTGAGAAAACTAATCAATATTTTTGAAAAATTTATACGCAGAATGAAAGATTATATTACTACCAAGGGCCGAAAGTCTCTTAGAAAAAACAAAAAGTTTTTTAATGAGATATTTAAAATTAAAAATCACACTAAATTTTCTCTTCTTTTTCACTCCTGTAACTTATTAAAATAAACATTATAGAAGTTTTCACGGACTTTCGGTCTTGAGTAATAATGTAATCATTCAATCTGCGTTTAAATTTTTCATAAATACTTATTAGTTTTCTCAGGATTCGAAAAAAAAACGAATGTATTTAAAACGCATTGGCCCGAAATTTTGCACCTACCCTATTAAAAACAAAAATTAAACACAAGAATTATTTAAAATACAAGAAAATTCACAAAGTTGTTAAAAACAAAATTAAGCAAGCAAAAGAAAGGTAGACGAATGAAAATTGCAATGAATTTAAAGAACTAGTAAGCACGACAACATTACTTTCATAAAACAATTAAGGATTTTGTCAGTTTTGGATTCAAACAAGAAACAAAAATGTTACCGAACATTTGAAATGAAACCGCTACAATAATCATGAACTTTAAGAAAAACTTATATATTGGAAGAATTACATATTTCAGCTCTCAAATGATAATAGAACAAGGAATTGCGTCTTAACACTTTCGGAAGATGCACTTCCAATAACACCTGATGACGTAAAACATCTCTCTCATAAAAATACCAAAAAGTGGTAAAGCGGTAGGCCCAGATGAAATTTATTGTGAACTCTTAATAAGTATAGTGGACGACAAATCTATATCTGTTTTGGTGGAGCTGTTCAATTGTATATATAGAACTGGAATAATTCCAGAAGAATGGTTCATCTCCGTTTCAGTATATGGACTTATTCTATATACTGAAACGGTGCTAGATCAAAGAAGACAAATAAGAAGCGATGAGAATGCAGCCACAGCCACACTCTAAAACAAATGAATAAAACTGTTCCGAAGACAATCAGAAGAGATTTAAGAAAATTTAAAACCAATAATATTAAACGTATTATACAGAAAAATAACAGCTTAAAACTTCTACGTAGAAAGCTAACGAATGGGAAATGCGAAATTCATCAAGTAAGAAACAAACGTGCGAAAAACTGTAGTGATTATAGAATGATAAGCCTTATGAGCCACACTTTGAAAATATTTCTACGCATCATCCACAGTAGAATCAGAGATAAATGTGAAGAAGACCAGGATGAAACACAATTTGGCTTCACAAATGGACTGGAACTCGGGACGCCCTCTTTGCACTAAATGTATTACTGCAGAAATGTCGAGATCAAAGGAAAGACGTCTTTGTTGTATTTATTGACTATGAAAAGGCCTTTGATCGAGTACAACATCACAAATTAATTACAATATTAAAAGATAAAGGAGTTGATAGTCAAGACATACGATTCATAAAAAAGTTATACTGGCGTTAAACAGCGACAGCTCGCATAAACGGAAAATCAACAGAAATATGTAAAATACAAACAGGTGTCAGACAGGGTTGTATTCTATCCCCACTGTTATTTAATTTATATTCAGATAGAATATTTAAAGAATCGCTGCACAATTTGGAATGGGGCGTGAAAGTTAATGGCATTTTGATAAATACAATCACATATGTCGACGATACAGTTATTTTAAGTGATGACATGAATGGACTACAATGCCTTTTAAATGCCATTGATACAGTGGGAAGAGAGTTTGGCCTAAACATAAACTGTTCAAAAACAAAACACAGGAGGGACACGTAGAACAATCACAATGCCCGTGATTTATCAGCGACAAAATTATGACAGATTAGTCACGAACGTGTCTGGTAATTCTATTGTTGTCAGTTTGACAAACGTTATTGAGGCGTAATCAATTTTGGACAGATATAATGAATTCAGACGAACAATCAAGATTTGGATGCCAGTCAGGTGAAGAAATTAAAAAATTGGTTTCGGAAATGTCCGTTGAACACGCAGAGGTCCAGAAGCTCTATTTAAACCCAATTTTCGGTACGGGTAGGAAATTTTACGCTTGAAAGATGTACTACCATTACGAAACTAGCAAAAATTCTCGAGGATTATGTCTGAACACGAAAAAAGGCAATGGCGAAGACTATAAATAGTCGTCTGTAAAGTCAATATGGAATACTACAGCAAATCGACCCTTTGACAAATATGTCTTTCAAATGTGCAAGATTGGCCAGAGATACCAAGCGGAGGCAGCTTCAAAGTGTTTAAGAAAAAAGAAAACTCAGTTAAAAAGTATTATCCACCGAAGAACTATTAAAAATTATCCAAAGCTACGACCAGGAAACCCCCGATCGAACACAAAAAAAAGTTTTTTAACCTTTGCTCATTTGAACTTGCTTGGAGGGGCAATAAGGCCTTAAACTGCAAAAATCACCTTTTCCAGAAGGAATTTGATTTCTTTTTGAAGAATTTAAGTTCCGAATTGAATACAACAGCATTTTTTCCAAAACAAATCAAGGCGGTTTGAAAAGTTTTGCGGCAAGCAGCAAATGGCTGGTCAGAAATTCATTAATGGAAAAAAGGGGACCAAAGATTTTATCAAACAGACTCTTTCTTACCGTTCATCCCAACTAGAAGGATAGATCTTGGTTCAAAATTGTCCACTTGGAATCAACACCGTATCTAAGTGGACAAAAATGTCACCTGAAAAAATTTGAATAGACACAAAAAAAAAACATAAAATAAAACATTCTCATCGATCTTAAGCTGTGTCAGCCTTGTTCAAGCAAGGTGTTTTTGAACAGGAGTTAATTTAATTAGCGGGTCACTTAAATGCAAGTTTTCTAAAACCATATCTGCAGCTGGATTCCAGTCATCACCAGAAATTGATAGAAAATCTCAGAACCACAAATAAAGCTGGACCTTCGAGTTCCCAAATGCTACAGGTCAATAATACACAAAATCATGCTTTGGTAGAAAAGAATGGGCAAACTACTATAGCTTATAATAATTGTACATTTAATATTGTTAACAAATAAATAAAGATTATGTTTCGTTGATATGGTGGTCTTGTCGAATAACATTCAAGAGAAAATTATTTATCGTCAAAATTGTCTTCTGGTTTAATTAGAGTTTGTTGCCTTTTGGCAATATTCTCTTATGAAATTTTGACAAAATTACTCGACTGACGTCTCGTGATTGAACTGTCAAAATTTAATTCGCGAAAATTGCCAGGCAACAAACTTGCATACTAGTCGAAAATATTGCCGACAAAATTCTCTCTCTTATGACATTATACAGTGGTGAGTGCCTTATCACCCGGCTTTTTAACGTAAGAGATAGAAAACACAGTTACCTTGTGAAATAAAAGGAGATGAAACTTGTAGAGGTGGGAAATAATCGATAGAAACCTATAATTTACATTACATTACGACTATCGATAGTCTCACACCTTTAGACGTTAGCTTCGATCTAAATCACCTCGGTCATAATTATTATGTTTGACAGTTTGACATCGTATGTGTGACGTATTTCCATTTTTTAATTTAGATAAAGTAAAAACTGATTGACCACAATAAAGCAAAAATGTGAATAAAATAATTTAATTAATAGTGATTACTTATTCTAAAGTTTGAAATTATTAACCAAGAATAATTTCTACTATGATTTGAGGAGTTTCATACACTCTTGTCACGGAATAATTAGCAATCCTTCGTGGATTAGTGGTAAGAATTCGACACTGCGACGCAGATGATTAGAGTTCAAAACCTACATGAGGTTTTCTTTTTTTTTTAATAATTTGAAATTATGCAGAGATCGTTTTGCTTTGAATCACTAAACATTTATGTCAGTCGTTACTGGTATTAGAAGTGTTTAAAGTTAAACATAAATATCTTATTGAAAAAATAGTGTCGTCGTACTTTCGAAAATAAAGTAAAAATTCTTCAAAATTAAAAGAATGTTTAAATAAGTAAAAATTTTACAAAAATAAAAAAATATTGTAAATAAACCTATCTACAATATGTTCAAATAAGCCTTCATTAGATTGAATTGTTGATCGTGATGGAGCCGGCCTATTTGGAAACATATTTACAAATTGTTGTCTATTCATGTTGTCTGAGAATCCATTCACATGCCAGACAACAATTTGCACTTTTTCCTCGACCGTTAAAACCATTTTCACGAATTGTTTTTTTCAATAAAAAGTTTCTGTTTACCGTGCAAAAACACTTCTCGATATGTTATGATTTTGATGGCTTAAAGGCTTCGCTTCGCGCGCATCCATTCCAATGTTGTCAATTGTTTTGAAAATCATTACCTATACAGAGGAATTGGTATTAACACTAAGAATTTAGTAATGGATTTGATATAAGACAGTTATTACAATCATAAACAGAATTATTTTGTATTTCCGTTTTATAACATGGAAATAAGAATAAATTGTAAATAATGAGTTTGTCGAAAACTTGTTACCTAATATGTATTATCATTTTTATCATTTTTTGATTGAGTAAAACAAAAATTTTATCCTAGGTGTGAATTGAACTTCAACCTTCTTGTCAACAGACCACGTGTCTAAGCATTACACCAACTCTACATATTGTTTTCCGACAGAACATAGGTGCCTACCTTTAGTTTAGTCAAATATTTCAGTTTATTATTAAATAAACTTAAAGATTTATAATTTAAAATCGTTACCTACTAATTAATGTTTTTTACTATAGTATATCTTAATTTATTCAATCATTTATTCTAACAACTGAAATTATTAAAAAATTATATTTTCGAGGTCGTCCGTATAATTATGACTGAAGTCAAATAGCCACGTCTAACGTCTAAAGGTGTGAGACTATCGATGGTGGTAATGCAATGTAATGTAAATTATAGGTTTCTATCGATTATTTCCCACCTCTACGAGTTTCATCTCTTTTTATTTCACAAGGTAACTGTGTTGTCTATCTCTTACGTTAAAAAGCCGGGTGTTAAAGCACTCATCACTGTATAAATACAAAAAATGACAATGTGTTATGTACCAAGTGCTCTAGTACTTAACAGTAACTCGGCCTAACGGCATCACTTGGTATTTTGAAGCTGGGTCGATAAACAATACAACAATCAACAAAACAAGTACCACAAGTGCAAAAAAATACTTTTTACACGTATCGCACAAATTAGTATTAAAATTACCTTCTTATTGACTGCAACCATTCCTTGAATTGTGTAGAGCCGTCAGGGGTAATTTGGAACGCTGCCCTAGCAGCACACACGATACTTACAAAATCTTCGTAATCTGCAGACGTGAGATGATATAATTTCTGGTGCATACACTGTATGTACATCTGTTGACACTTCTGCACGAGTGGCGTAAGTGCATTTCGTAGATGCTGCATAACGAGGCTTGGATTGTTTCGAGAGAGATATTGGGCAGCTTCGATTGCTACATCGTGTAATACGAATGGACTTACTATGGAGTTAACTGCACATACGCAGAAGTGGTGAAGGTATTGGGTTCCTAAAAATACATTTCGTTATAATCGCTTTTAAAATGTAAGAAAGGTTCATTAACACAAATATGTTTTATTTCCAACATAACAAACACAAGATACTTTTTTTATAACACAATTAATGTTTAAAACTGTTCTAGATTTTATAAACCTGAATACCGCAACGATAATTTAAGTGTTTATTTCATCACAACATTTAATCGATATGTGAATGTAAATTCAAATAAAGGGTGTTTTTTTAGAGGTATAGAACTTTGAAATGGAATAAAACAAGATGGTTTCTATAAATTGATATGAAATTGACTTTACTTGAAAGATAATATTTTGGTATTACAATTAAAATATGATTTCTGGCATATGGCTGACTCTGACGTAGTCTAATCTGGAGGTCCAATTTTCGATCACTTTTTCCAATATTTGTCGCCGTTCAGCAATAAAGCGGCGAAAGTTGTCGTTTAAGTGGTCAATCGTTTCATGCTTATCAGCGTAGACTAGCACCTGTACATATCCCTACATAAAATAATAGTCTCTTCTTCTTCTTTCAGTGCCCTGTCCGATTATCGAACGTTGGCGATCATATTGGCAATAATAACCTTATTCACGGCGGCTCTAAATAAATTAGCGGTGGTTTCTTGATACCATTCTCGCAGATTTCGTAGCCAGGATGTTCTTCGTCGGCCTGGGTCTCTTCTTCCGTCAATCTTACCCTGTATTATGAGGTGTAGAAGGTTATACCTCTCTGGATGTCTCATTACATGACCGAAATATTGTAACTTCAGAATTTTTATCGTTTTTGTTATTTCTGTGCTCTTTTTCATTCGATGTAAAACTATTTTATTTCTTATTCGATCAACCCAACTTATCCGCAATACTCGTCGATAAATCCACATTTCAAAGGCCTCTAATTTTTTTCATTAATGTCTCTGTAAGGGTCCAGCTCTCCATATCATACAGCAATGTGTAGAATATGTAGCAGCGTATTAATCTGATTTTAAGGTTTAACGTAATATCTCTATTAATTAACATTTTCTTTAATTTATAGAAGGCGCCTCTAGCTTTTTTCAATGCGTATTCTTATTTCTTTATTTATATCCCAGTTATCGTTAACGTTTACACCCAAGTAGGTAATATTGTGGACTCTTTTTAACTCTATCCCATACGCTCTGATGTTCGTTGGTTGTAACTCCGTTTTGCTGACAACCATAAATTTTGTCTTAGAAGTATTAAGTTTTAGCCCATATTCATCACATGCTTCGGTTACCCTATTTATAAGTCGTTGCATGTCTTCTTCATTGGAGGCAATAAGTACCGTGTCGTCTGCATATCTGAGATTGTTGACATTAATTCCGTTGATTTTATCTGTATCTTCAACTAAGGCTTCTTTGAAAATAAATTCGGAGTAGATATTAAAAAGTAGTGGCGATAGAATACATACTTGCCTCACTCCACGTCGTATTTCCACTGCTTCCGTCGTGTTGTGCCCAGCTCGTATGTTTGCACATTGAAAATAATAGTCTAGCAGTGATCAATCGCACGTTATTGGAGGCCAATAACGTGGGCCAAGAATAGGCCAATCTGAAACTATGCGGTTACCTAACGTTTCCTTTAATAAATCAATTGTGGCACGAGCTGTGTGACATGTTGTGCCGTCTTATTGAAACGACAGCTCCTGCACATCATGGTTGTCCAATTGGGGAATAAAAAAGGCAGTAATCAAGGCTCTATAGTGGTCACCATTGACTGTAACGTTCTAGCCAGCATAGTTTTTAAAGAAGTGAGCTCCAATTATTTCACCAGATCATAAAGCACACCAAACAATCAATTTTTCTGGGTGTAATGGTTTCTCAACATACATTTGAGAATTATCTTAACTCCAAATAGGGCAGCTTTGTTTGTTGACGAAGCCATTCAACCAAAAGCGAGCTTCATCGCTAAACAAAATTCGCTTATGAAAATCAGAATCAACGGCAATATCGTTTTGGAACCACTCATTGAATCTACGAATTTACGCCTTGCTATTTGATGATGTCCCTTCATTCTTGTGTGATTCAATGGGTTGGATTTTGTAACCACGAAAAACAAGATCTTTCCGCAATATCTTCCATAAATTGGATAAACATGTATCCAACTGCTGTGCACGATGGCAGATAGACTAATTCGGGTCTTCCTGTATGCTACAATCTACAGCAGCAACAACTTCTGTACTCACTGTAAGTGTCTGTGGATGTACATTCATCCACAGATCAAATTACTTGTTTTGATGGACTATTGTATTGACCATAAAATGGACGTAGTGGGCGACACGTATTTCGAACAGAACCACAATTTTCAAAATAAATTTGTACAATTTGGAAGAGTTGTTCGGGCGTCAAGTCTATTAATGCTGAAATGCCAAACCAAACTTAACATAAATCACTTGACAGCTGTCAAAATGGCCGACAGTTTAAAAAGTGTTACCAATTTACACTTCTATACCTATAAAAAAACACACTTTACAAATAAGTATGCATGTTTCATTATTAACCACAATAGGAAGATATATTCCTATTTCAACATTTAATTAATACACATTTCTTACCTAAGTGTTTAGAAATCCTCAATAACCATTTTACGTCTTCTCCGTAGGGTGGATTTCTGGCATATTTTGCTTGCGGTCTGTCATCGTGTACCCTTCTAGCAAGAGTTTCTAGAGCTAACATTCCAACTCGGTAGGCTGTTAATAAGTACCTCATCTGTGCTTGATTAAATTGATGAGGCCTGTGGGGTCTTGGCATCGCTTGTTGAACATGAGGAGGCATACCTGTGGTTTAAATTTCATAGTTATAACTTCACATTTATATATCAGTACATACTTAAAATATGTTTTTGGATCCTCTGAAGAAATGAACATCAATACAAATCAGCAATGAATCAAATCGTCAAATTAACACTTTGTATGATTTAAATTGTATAACTTGTACATTTGAAATCAATTTGATGTCTGAAATCGATCAGACATAAAAGTCGGAATTAATCTATAAGCATTACCAAGTATGTAGTATTATATTGTTGTAATAGAAATTACTATTATCGCTATGCATTTACGACAATTACACCAATTACAACAAGTAGTAGATCAAGTCAGAGGAAAGATGATAATATTTGGGGATTTTAACGTTCGAATGGGCAATCAAGAAATACCCGGTATTAAGCAAAAACATAACGAGGATGTTAAAAATGAAAATGGAAAACTGATGATAAACTTCTGCACGAATCACGAACTTAGAATAAACACAAAGACCAACACAAATATACATTTAATAACACCCACGGACAAAAATCTATGATAGAATATGTTATAACTAGACTTCGGCAAATATGCATATTGCATATTTTGCATATTGTGCATATTTTATGCAAATATTTCATATTTTGGCATATTTGTATAAAAGTTTGCATAAAGTGCATAAAAGTTCAGATTTTTATACTGTATTTGAAAATTTTTAAACATACCAATTTATTTCAATTCTTGTATAAAATTTTGTAGTCATTTTAATCAAGAAATGATCTAAGTACGTAATCTATACAGGTACAAAACATTTACAATTTCAAAAAAGATCAATTTAAGTAGCCCTCAACATTCTTAGAAAGTCTCGGTCACTGAGGCATTCAGTTATTGGATAATCGCTAAGGGTTCGCTCATTTGCATTTTATGATCTAATCCCCAAATCTATCTACAATTTATTGTATCTTAACAGCAGGTAAACGGCTAATAGTTTTGTTCCTAATTTAGGGATTTTCCAAAATCTTCCAGTTTATTGAATTAGGTACCTAAACATTTCTAATTTGATGCTCAGATTTGTAAATCATTTTTGTTTTGATATTCAAAGCGTAAACACTCGTTGTGCGTAACAAAAAGGAAGATTGTGATTTTATAATGCCTAAAACAACCAGTGCTTCAACTTGGATTAAACCTTATAAAGAGCTGTCTATGGATATGGGAAAAATCTACTGTTCAGTCTGTGGCAAAATTGTAAGTATCTAATATTTTCTATTAAATATCTAATATTTCATACATACAGAGTGTTTCCAAATGACACTTACAACGTTTGACTGTAGATACTTCTCGAAAAATTGAACAAAACGATATAGTTAATGAGGGGTCAAACTTATTTACTTTTCGAGATACAGGGTGTTAAAATTAAAAAAAATTAAATTCTTTTAGTTAATAACAACAATAACTTTAAAACCAATAAACGTATTTACTTGAAATTTAGTACTCGTAGGTTGTTTTTAAATGAAAAATAGCTTCCTTTAGTGAGAAAAAATTGTCCATGGTAGAATACAATGGTGTGTATTTAAAAAAATTTTTCACCTTTACTTTTTTTTATGAAGTCAGCTATTCTAAAACACAATTATTTTTGTTGTAATTGAATTAACAAAAAAAAAACTTTCGTTGAATTTTAAAATAAGTTATATGATGTACTAATGGTTGGTAACAAAAACTAATTTGTGGATTAATACTGCATTTAAAACACTTAGCGAGTGTTTTTTTTCCAAACCAGTTATTTGATTAACCAAAAACACCTTGTATATTTTTATATTTTAAAGGTTGGGTTAAAATAAAGGTTTTTATTTTTATTTATAGATAGCATGTGAGAAGAAATTTCAGATAGACCAACATGTGAGAACTGCTTCACAAATTGCAAAAAAAGGAAAAATAGGAGGAAAACATCAAACGTCAATGGCTAAATGTTTCCAATCTACTTCAAAAAAATTAGATGAGCAAGAAACTTTTAATGAAGACTTGTGTCGCGCATTAGTGTCTGCAAACATACCGCTTTCAAAATTAGCAAATGTAAATTTTAGTTCGTTTCTAAAAAATATTGCAAACTTAATGTTCCAAGTGATCGGTCTTTAAGAAGAAATAATGTGAACGGGCTATACTCGTCGGTGTTAATTAATATTAAGGAAGAAATTGCAGATAATTATTTTTACATATCTGTAGACGAAACCACTGATTCCTCAGGAAAGTATATTGCTCATTTATTGATTGGTGTTCTTAAAGAAGATGCCTTACCAAAATCTCATCTTATTTCATGCCAGCAACTTGAGAAAACAAATGCTTTAACAATTTCGCATTTTATACAAGAAACATTAGCAACTTTTTTTCTTCCGACAACTATTCCTTCTAATAAATTACTGCTTATTTTATCGGATGCTGCTCCTTATATGGTGTAAGCAGGACAAAATTTTAAAATATTTTTCCCAGATTTAATACATGTTACTTGTGTAGCGCATGGATTAAACAGAGTTGCAGAGGAAATACGAAAAAAGTTTCCTCTTGTAAATACCATGATATCCAGTGTCAAAAAAGTATTTCTTAAATCTCCTATAAGAATTCAACTTTATAAAGAAATGCTACCTAACATGCCTCTTCCACCACAACCTATTTTAACGCGATGGGGAACATGGTTAGAAGCAGCTAATTTTTATGCAGATCATTTTGTTAAAATAAAGAACATAATTGATACGTTAACAGATGAAAGTTCCCAATCTCTTTTGGATTCTAAACAAACTTTTCAGAGTAACTTGCTTTAACAAGAACTTTCATTTATTAAATCAAATTTTAGTTTTGTTCAAAAAACAATTACTCGGTTAGAATCACCAAAACTGTCATTGTTCGAAAGTACAGCATTAATAAAAGAATTTGCGTCATGTTGTCGGAACGTTAGAGGTAATATTGGAAAAGATATTTTAAAAAAATTGAAGCTACTATGGAAAAAAATAAAGGTTACCATATTCTTTCTGAAGTAGTCAGTGTTCTAGCTGGAAATATTTCGGAAACAAATAATTTAGAACCAAATGTTTTGGTTAGTTTGAAAAATGCTCCCGTTACATCAGTTGATGTTGAACGAAGTTTTTCCATATATAAATATATGTACTCAGACAGAGCCACAAGTTTTTGTTAGAAAATTTTGAACACCACTTGGTCATTTATTGTTACCATAATTCTAAATAAGTTTATTCATACTTAAAAATTATAATATAGTTACTTAAAATAAATGTAAATCTTAATGAATAGTAGGAAATATTTAGTTATGTACACTTTTTTTTTTAAATAAAATTGTTATCTACTATTTTACGATTTTTTTATTTATTTGTATGCATATTTTGTAAAATATTTGCATATTTTCGGGTAAACACGTGCATATTTATGCGCATATTTTCTACATTTTTATTTGCATATTTGCCGAAGTCTAGTTATAACCAACAGAGGTATACATCCATCGAAAATAGTCGACGGAACTCAACTCAGCAGATGTAGGTAGCGACTATAGCCTAGTATTAAGTAAAATAAGAATCATCCTTAAATACTTCACACACAAGAGAGCGGCGCCAACACAAACAAAAATCAAAGTCGAATGACTAAATATGGAATCCACGGAATATTTATACAGAAAAGAATATCCTGCGAATTAAGTATTAGATCACGATAACATCGACGAAAGCTGGGAAAAACTAAAAATAACATAATTAACGTAGCAATAAAATCACTTGGAGTGAGGAAAGTAACACACACTAACATATCAAAAAAGAAAACACCACGGTTTACAGAGAAAGTAAAGACAAAATGTGAAGAAAAGAAGAACGCCTTTTACAATACAGAACACAACAGGCAAATATCCACTATAAACGAATTAAAAATGAAACGAATACGTTAGTTAGACAAATAAAAAGGGAACACTGGCAGTGCTTCTCAAAACAGATGGAACACGACTTTTACAGAACACAAAAAGAAATATGGGGGATGATCAGAGGACAAAGAAGAGAGATAAACGAACTAATAAAAACAAACAGTAAACATGGATAGACTACTTTCGATCAATATTTGCTAAAGATGACAATAATGAACCACCAACACCAGAGGTGAGTGATGATAAACGAAGAAATAAATATTGGGGAGGAAGAGGTAAAGAAAGCATTAAGGAAATTAAAAAATAGAAAATTGCCAGGAGAGGACAAAATATCGACCGAACTCCTAAAGTGCGGAGGACCAGATCTGACTAAACAAATATTAAAACTAATCCAAAAAATCATAGAACAAAACAGAATTCTTCAAGAATGGAGATCAAGCATTCTAATATCTCTCTTCAAAAAGGGAAACCAAACGGACCTGGAAAATTACAGAGGAATTAATTTAATATACTCGGTTCGGTAATGCCAGTACGAACTGTCTAGTGATTTTAGTAATTATGTTTTTACGAAGTTAGTTACTTTTTGACAGACTAGAAGTGGCTGGAAATTATTATACAACCAAATACACGTGTTCATAGCGCATTTCATTAGAGTACTTCGTCGACCTCTTTTGCAAACTTATACTATGAATCAGAAATTTATAGCATGTATATAGAATGTAAGTTTGTATTATATATAAAAAATATGTTTTATAAAAAAAGTTACGGTAATTTAGTTTATATCGTTAGGTTGCGCCAAATGTAGGCAACCAACTTAAACTTTTTGTTAGCATTTAGCTCGAGTTTCTTGAGAATATATTTAATATTTTCCAGTTAATTTATTATTATTTTTTAAAGTGATGATAATAATGCTGAATAAGCAATATTTCAAATGATATCTAATCACAGGACGTACTTAATATTGTGTTATAAAGTAGGTTAGATAAAAAATATCATAATATTCATATTATAATTCAAAAATATCATTCATCAAAAATATCCAATATCATCAAAAATATAATTAAAACAAATCATAATCTTCTATTATTCCTATTAGAAACTAGTTTTGGACGGCCCGGGATTTTACCTTTTTTATCTGACGTACTTTATTATGAGGATTTTACAATAACACAATATTAAGTACGTTTTGTGATTAAATATCATTTGAAATATTGCTTATTCAGCATTATTATCACCACTTTTAAAAAATAATAAATTAACTGGAAAATAATAAACGTTTATTAAAAATATTCTCAAGAAACTCCAGCTAAATTCTAACAAAAAGTTTAAGTTGGTTGCCTACATTTGGAGCAACTTAACGATATAAACTAAATTACTGTAACTTTTATCACAGCTTTTATTTAATTTTTGACGCCATGTCAAACTGAACTGGATGTTAACTGAAATGTTTTTGTTATTAAGAACATATTTACATAATTTTATAAATATATTTTAATGATCCACCTACGCCGAATGGGCAAAGAATTCCAGAAAAACTTACCAACGCATTATCTGAAGGGAACAAATGGAAAACTTTGACTATCTCTAATAATAAAATTCAAAATAGAACTAACTAATTAACTAAATAGAACTAACAAAGAATTAAACAAAAATAATGGAACAATAAAACTATATTAGCTAAAATAAACAACGCGAATAATACAAATATTTACTACAATATGTTCAATTGTAACAACTCAAATATTATATTTTAAATATACAGGGAAAATGTTATGGGTTTAGTATACACTTCCACTATTTGGAATAATTCTTCTTTTTTTTTAAGGAAGAAGTCTGCAATAGTAGTATATTTGAGCTATTAATACTGAGAAGTAGGAATTTTTGTGTTGTAGGTTTCCGACAATGAATCTGTCAAAATATGCCTGAGCTAAGCGAATGGAGAATACTTACATTAACAACCAAAGTGATAACAAATAAACCGACGCTATACTTATAATGAGGCAAATGCAAGAGAAATCATTAGAATACAACAAACCGGCATATCTATGTTTCGTGGACCTTAAGAAGGCATTTGACCGGATCAAATTAAAGGACGGTATCCACTTATTGTACGCAAGAGAGATACCTTTAGGAATAATCAAAACGATCGAAAATGTTTACCAAAATAACGCAATAAAAGTAAAAGTAGAAGAAGAACTAACCTACCCTATTGAAGCTGGCAATAGGGTAAGACAGGGGGATTCTCTGGGTCCTCTATTTTTCAAACCGATAATGGATGAAATAATAAAAAAAGTAAGAACTAAAAAAAGGATACCAAATAGAGAAAAACAACTTAATATAACAACAACAAAATAATCTGCTATGCAGACGACGTCATATTACTCTTTCAAAGTGAAGACGATTTACAACATACGCTCCGCCAGAAAATTTAACATATTAATTTCCCCAAAAAAGATAATATGCATGGTTACAACAGCAAATTTACTGAGATGTAAATTGGAGCTTGAAGGTCAGATAATAGAACAAGTGATGAAATTAAAATGTCTAGGCATCACATTATCTAGCTATGGAAAGCTCGAAACTGAAGTGGAAGATCAAGTGAATAAAGCAAACAAAACTTAATGTACTGTATATGTATTTATTTACCCGGAGGAGGTGCTGCATACATGTGTGCAGCGGGTCTTAAAGCTTGTACTGACTGAGTAATCGTGACCGTAGGTCCATAATACTGTACATGCTGTGCCGGAGGCGGCTGGGAACCCTGGACTTGTATTCCTTGCTGTGGTCCTGGCGGCGCTGCGAAAACGGCTGTGGCGGGTGTAGGTGGTGGAGGAGCCTGTGCATACTGCGATGGTGCACTTGTGAAGGCAGCCTATTACGAAAATATTAATTATTTACATAAATATACTCTTTATCAATAATCTATTTTTACTTACCTGTTGAGGTGGCGGTATCGTAGCATAAGATGTAGGCACCGGAGTAAATGCAGCCGCTGGTGCAGGCTGTGGTGCTGGTGGGGGATATGGAAATTGATACATCTGAACGTGGGTGGGCGGAGGGGCCTGCGGGTGCAGGGGTGTAGAGGGCCCCCGTAAGCAATGGGGGGATGATGTGGAACGAAATTGTAATGACTAACATACATTCCAACGGGGGAGCGGCATGCTGGAATAAAAAATATATAAAAATAAACATGAATAATGTATAAACTGTAAAATACTTCTAGTTTGGTCGGTTATAAAATTGTTATTTTTTTTGGAAAGTTAAAGATGTAAAATAATTACTATCGGGATTATGCTGTAAATTTTTCTTTGTTTATCTGACGAATTACTCGTCCTGCATTTTTTCAATGATCGCTAATATGATCATCATCTTACGCTTTACGCTATGAAACACAAATTTAAACAAAATAAGATCATCTAAAACATGTTCAAGCCCTTTTTGTTACTTTTGTAATACATAGAGAAGAGTTATTTATCAGCAATATAATAAAATTTATAAACAAAGTCATTCAAAATCAAACCTCATTTTACTGCATGTGGTCTATTTTAAGTGGTTCAAAATGAAATAAAATAAGAAACTAACTACTTTAGAATCGAGAATTTCTATGATGCCATTGGTGTTTATGGTGAAACAGTACCTTAGAGAATTTATTTAGGTAAATTACTTCTAATACAGCTTGGGTCAAATCTTAAACAAAACACAATTATGAAATGTATATACAAGAGCATTTAGAAGAGGAAACTAAACAAATGTACTATAAAAGGAATAAGGTAGTCAGTAAAACAATGTAGAAGATGCATACACATATTTCATGTTTATCTGGCCAAAAATTTATTGATGGCAGTAGTAATAAAAATAATAAATTTGTAAAAGAGTGAATATCAACTACATGGAAGTTTATATAATGACGAAAGACACTTGAGATAGTAATCGTCCAATAAGACGATTAGAGATAAGACTAGATTACCTTCTAGGTATGAGTTCCATATATAAAAAATTAATATCGACTATAATAAATAAAAAAATATATAACTTACCGTGTATGGCGGGGGAGCAGTAGTAACAACTACGGGTTGGGTCGGGGGAGGTACATCCGCTTGCACTGGTGGTTCAATTAAAGCCACCAGGGCTCCATGCGAGTCCATAACAGGATCATGAGGCATTTCGTTGTCCAATAATTGATCACCTCCAGGAGTATGCCTGACATATAGCTCATACCAGTACTTAGCTACCTAGAAATAAAGAAAACAAGTGTGAATGAGCAACAGTTTATTTAAATTATGTTAGGCATAACGCACCAATTAACATAGAAAAAGTTTACAACTAAACTAAACCCTCGAACAAGATCCCTCTTAATATTGTCAGCAGTTAACTAGAACCGAAATATAGCACAAATATATATGTATTTACATATTACCCCCAAGTTCAGCGGAATATTAAACTTGATAAAACTAACTAAATTTCAATTAATGTTCATAGACTGTCGAAAAAAATTTCCACCACTCACATTAAATAATGGCCACATCTCCATCAATACATATTATACCGTTGATATTTTGATAAAAGTTGAAAAAACATATCTAAAGCAAGCGCAGAGATAATTTTATAATAAGAAACCTGTTAACAGAGAGATCTTAGTTACTTCATATAGGCCATAAACCTTCTTGACGCAGATCAGATCCTCGTTGAGAATAGTAGTAAATGGTGATAAAAATAAACAATTGAAGGCTGGTCTGACTGTCTGTTGGTAGGTATGTGTATAAATATGTACAGAAATTTCCAGAATTTATAATAATCGATGTTATAACGTATATATAACGTAATATATATATATATATATATATATATATATATATATATATATTATATATATATATATATATATATAGGTGGAGAAATAAAAGACAAAGTTGATACTACTTCATCTATTTTGAAGACGTTTCGCTATCGAATTCTGATAGCATCGTCAGTTCATCTTTAAAAAGATATGTAGTTGTCAATGGTATTAAAAAGATAGTACAAAAACTCAAATAAATGGACATCATATGGTGATATTGTATAAACAATTAAATAACTAACAACATTTAGAGACTTAGTAAAAATTAGCAAAGCAACAGAACACGTGGTCTAATAACCATATAATATTTTATATAATATTAACTAGTGAAAAAGAACTAAGAAAATCCTTGATTCACTTCCAACTATGCAAAAAAATTTTATTTTATGACTTCATCTTAACTTTTGGTAGCATTATTTAAGTTATCTACATTAAGATATGCCTATTAATTAACGCCATTTCAACCGCAACAGGTGCCAAGCATACAGTGGTAACTTCATTTTATATCTTTTCTTTTTTATATATATTTTTTATATCTTAATGTAGATAGCTTAAATAATGCTACCAAAAGTTAAGATGAAGTCATAAAATAAAATTGTTTTGCATAGTTGGAAGAGAATCAATGAATTTCTTAGTTCTTTTTCACTAGTTAATATTATATAAAATATTATATGCTTATTAGACCACGTGTTCTGTTGCTTTGCTAATTTTTACTAAGTCTCTAAATGTTGTTAGTTATTTAATTGTTTATACAATATCACCATATGATGTCCATTTATTTGAGTTTTTGTACTATCTTTTTAATACCATTGACAACTACATATCTTTTTAAAGATGAACTGATGATGCTATCAGAATTCGATAGCGAAACGTCTTCAAAATAGATGAAGTAGTATCAACTTTGTCTTTTATTTCTCCACCTAGTAGACCGATATTTGAACCCACTACTCGTCTGAGTGATCCTTATTATATATTGGATAGACGGTCGTACTCCTTTTTGCGATATATATATATATATATATATATATATATATATATATATATATATATATATATATATATATATATATATATGTTACGAGCAATGTCCGAAATTGGCAAATCCCAGCATTGTACGGAAAATCTTGTCCACTTCTAGCATTGTACCCCTTTACAGTACAATCTCCGAAATAGACATAATCGTCGGACTTTGTATAAAGGAATTGCTGTACAATGTTCAAATTTCAGTAAGTCGATAAGTAGCAATGCGTCAAAGTTTGAAAGAATATGACAGATATCGATTATTTTTATGATTATTCCCCATTTGATATTAAAGACAAACAAACATCAATTACGATATAAATCCTAAATTAACCTATTAGTTAGTTGCTGGAACTTAAAATATATTAAATTATATTTAATTAAACTTCATTTATAAACTTAAAAATAATGTTTAATAAAATTAATTAATATTATATCGCATGCTCTTTCGCGATTTATTAAAACGACATGACAACACCGCCAAATACAAAACTTTCCTTCATTTCTTCAACGGAACTTTTTTATGTGCTTTTATCTATCACTCTATTGCAGAACAATTTCTTCGTATTATTTATATTTTAGTTTGAGACAGCATTTTATAATGTTGTCGATTCGAAAAAGTACAACTTTGTATGTAAAATAGAAAATAAAAAATATCAAGAATAATTAACAAGAAATGTTCGATTTTTGATTTGATGTGTCGCTTGTCAATAATAATCGATTCGAATCGATAAGCGTCTCGATAATCATTTTTAAATTTGATCATTTCGGACATTGTACAGTTTGGGGGTACAATGCTAGAAGTGGACATTAATTTCCGTGCAATGCTAGGATTGCCCAAAGCTGAGCTGCTTTAATTTGTAATTCTTTCCGGGAAGTTCCAATAAGTTCGACATGTAAGAACACTTCAGAGCATCATCCACATGTAAGAACACTTCAGTCAATCGTCAACATGCAAGAGTTCTGTATTCATTCTCAAATTCCATTTCATGTAAAACACATTCGCCTGCAGCATGAAAACCTGAAGTGGCTAAGAAGTATTTAACTGTATCTAAATATTTAACATCAGTACATAAAAAAACAGTAATTCTAGCAAGCGGCTTTCTTTAGCAAAACCTTAATGAAAACAAGTAAACAACACAAGGATTTTTTCAACAGCCCCTAACTGTCTACTTCTGTACGTAAGCCTCCCCTTGGCGTTTCCATTTGGATGTGCCTCTTGCTACATGGTGCCATTGTGTTCCCACCTTTTCTTTCACATCGTCCAGTCATCTTTTTGGAGGTCGACCCACACCTCTCTTATGTAACCTAGGTCACCACTGTACGATGCATTTAGTCCGCTTGGTATCATCTTGTCTGACAACATGCCCTACCACTTCAATGAAGCCGCGCGTTGTATTACGTCACCTACTTTTGTTCTTCTACGTATGTCTTTCCACTACACGCTGTACTACTCTCATTTTGTTGGCGGCCTTTGTCAACGTAATTATCACTAGACTGTATGTCATCACTGGAATTGAAAGATTCCACTGGACGCAATAATTGAAAATTTTGCCTCGAGATTTATGAGAATATTGTTGTTCTTGACGGTAATCATAAGCTTGCCAATGACAGCCCATGTCATGCGCATTCTTTGGTCTACTTCCTTGTGTTGATTTTTTCTGCTTAGCTTTATTAGATCACCTAAGTTAATAATTTCTACCACCCTTTATATCACTTCCTCACCAGAGTAACTGATACTTTCTCCAAAGTAAGAATCGTAGCCTTTGTTAGGAATATTTTTTATTTTTTTATATAGATTTGATTTTTTTATTTTAATATTTTGATAGATAAAGACAAGATGTGTATATACTAGCAGCAGAACAGGTTAAATAAAGTTTAACTTCACTTTCAAGTAAAATATTATTTAGAATTTGATTATAAATAAACAGTACAAAAATGATTATCTGTGGCTTGGTGCAAGAAGTGCCAATGTCACTTTTTGGCCAAAATGAGTTGAGAGTAGTTTTAGGGTTGAAAATATTGTATATTTCGTACAATAAATTATATTTATTCTACCGTAATTTAAAATAGTCATAATGATACCTTACATTAAATTATTAAGAAAACTTTTAATAAAAAAATATGTTAAAAATATTTTAAAATATTATATTAAGAAAAACAATAACAGGAATCTGTGTACTTTGTAAATAAACAAAATTTGAAACGTGAGAAACATCATACAATGTTTTTATTAAAATGTGTAATTTGAACAAAATGTTTAAAGGCAAATAACCCAATTAAATAAATACTGACATTTGCACTTCTTGCACCAAGCCACCGATATAAACAATATACCTGGAAAAGTACTTCGGGATAGACACCACCTCCTTTAGCAGCGTTTTCAACGGTGTGGCATGCATGTTCCAACATATCATCACTTTGTTCTTTACATTGTAAAATAGCACGTTGAATTTCGTTGGGATTAAGAGCGTGCGCATGAGGAAGACAGGACAATGCAAGTTCTGCAGCTGCTCGAACCATATTATCGTCACAACCACGAGAAGCTCGATCCGCAATACTGGCGACTTCTGGAGGAGTCAAATGGCCCTCCCATGTGTCTATTAAAAATGATATTGCTGCTGCTCCTATCTCCATAGCTTGTCCTAAACAAAAGAATATATAAATTAGAAGGTACGTTAATCGGTTTTGAGAATAATAAAAACTATTTTTTTTATATTTTTAAAGGGAACACTTTAAGCAAAATTAGTACCTTATTAGATAATAATAATTTAAATAATTAAAACCATAATTTTTCTATATATACCAACACTAAATTCTATAAAGAAATTTTAATATGAAACTCCCAATGCATTTGTAGTCTCAGAAGATAATAAGTAAGCGGTACGTACGAAATACACTCCGAGTCATAGAAAACGGGCCACCCCAAATATTTAAAATATTTTCGAAATTATTATTTATTGCTACAAAATTATGCATTTATTTTGTTGTATATTGAATTAACATTATTTAATTTTTAATGTGTCTTGGGCTATTTAAGTTAAATGGGTTGTTGCGAAAGCAAAACGACCCTGTAACTGGATTGAGGATATTCGTAGAACCTATAAACCAAAACAATTTTGAGAAAAGTTGTTTACAACTTGATCAATTTTCGAGGAAGCGATTGTTTTGAGAAATGTTTGATATTGTAAAGGGTTCTAATGAGTTTTAAACGCATCTCAGTATTCAGTAGCCGACTTAGTGTGAACTAGTCTTCAGTTAATAACGATGGAGAATTTTCAAAAATCGGTTGAAATTGTAACGTTACTGGGAAGTGGATTAAGTCAACGACAAGTTGCAAGACAATTGAATGTTAGTCGTTCGACTATACAAAGGACCCAGCAACGATTTATTGTCACAGGATCTTACCAACGACGACCTGGTACGGGTCCAAAAAGGAAAACAACCGCTAGGGAAGATCGCCTCGTCCTTCTTGCTGCATTACGGAATCGGAACCAAACCGCTAGAATACTTCAAGGCCATTTACAGCAAGCTCAAGGACTAGAAATCAGCCTTTCTACTATTCTGCGAAGATTAAGGGAGCAAGGTTTGACAGCTTGCAGTCCAGCAACGGGACCCTTACTTTCCCCAGCTCACAAAAGTCGAAGACTAGATTTTGCATGGGAGCACATCAATTGGACAGCAAACGATTGAAAAAAAGTATTGTTTACGGATGAGTGTAGAATGTCTATTTATGGTAAAGACGGACGTAGTAAGGTGTACAGACGAGCTGGAGAACGTTTCGCTGGTTGCACTCGGGCACCACGGGTTACTTTTGGTGGTGGTTCAGTAATGTTTTGGGCAAGGATTTCTTTTGATGCGCATACGGATCTCGTCGTGATCGACAGAGGTGCGTTAACAGCAGTAAGGTACATAACGGACATCTTACAACATCATGTGATGCTCTATGCTGGATTTATTGGCAACGAATTCCTGCTAATGCAGGATAATGCGAGACCACACACGGCAAGGATAGGAATGGAGTAGCTTGATGAATTTGGTATTCAAAAAATAGACTGACCTGCTCAAAGCCCCGATTTAAATCCTATTGAGCATATATGGAGCCTACTAAAAAGTCGCGTTAGGCATCGCATATCTGCTCCAACAACACCTGGAGAGCTCCAGATGGCACTCATTGAGGAATGGGCTACTTTTCCCCAAAGAGATATCCAAAACGTTATAAATTCCATGCCAAATCGAATGAGAAGTGTCATCCAGAATCGAGGTGGCAATAGCCATTACTGAAAATGGATACCAGCTTTATTTTTAATATACAGTTCATTGTTGTTTTAAAAACTGTAAGTTGATTTTTTCAATAAATTTCCTATGTTTCTTAAATTTTTTATTTTCGATTGATGTTTTACAATAATGATGAAATTTTATACTAAACGAGTTATTGATTCAATATACGAAAAAATAAATACTTAATTTTGTAGCAATAAATAATAATTTCGAAAATATTTTAAATATTTGGGGTGGCCCGTTTTCTATGACGCGGAGTGTATATCGACCGAGCTATCTCCTGTATGTAATCTTATTTATGGAAAGTAACTCAGCTGTCACTTCACCCTCCCACTTTTTTTGTGGGCTTCTTTTTGGTCTTGTGCTCTTATCTGAGGTCTCTTTTTGTCAATCTTCCTGTCTCCATTCCCACTACCTGACCCGCCCATCTAAGTCTCTGAAGTTTTACGAATTTTGAGATCGGTGCCTCTTTGAACAGTTGGTAGAGTTCACGGTTGTATTTGAAGTTGGTTTTGTGTCACCCGTCATCACCCATGTCTCCCATCCATAACATACTATTGGTCTGATAATAGTTTTTTAGACCCTGATTTTCGATCTCCACTGTGTGTTTTTGGAGCGGAACACATGGGTGAGTAAAAAGTAAGCTTTGTTTCCCTCTACTATTTTTTTGTGAATTTCTAGTTCTTCTGTTCCATCTGTGTTTAATGTCTAACTGTAACAGTTCTAATATCGTCATCTAATTCAACTGTGAGTCTGTTTCCCCTAGCTCTTGCCTGTGTTAGTTCTTTTTTTCTTTTGAATATTTATTTCTAGTACGGTCTCTTTTAATCCTGTTTTGAACTGTGAATATATTTCTGCCGCTTCTTCTCTTCTGCCAGACATGATGCTAATGTCATCGGCATAGGCGGCAATCTGTATTGATTTATTTGTTAGAAGATTACCTCTTCATATATTCAGCTGTCTTATCACATATTCAAGAGTCAGGTTGAATTGTGTCAGTGCCAGCTCGTCTCCTTGTTTTAAACCTTTGACTATTGACAAGTTCTCAGTGAGCTTATTTTGTACTCTAACTAGTCCATTGTTGTTTTTACTAGTCGGATGTATTTTTGGAGATGTTAAAACTATGCAATATTTGATATAACTTTTGTCTATTAATTGAGACGTAGGCCTGTTTAAAATCTATAGATGCTCTGCCTATCTCAGTCTTTTGAAAAAAAAAAATTAAAAAAAAAATCAAACACTTTACTGCTCAGATGATTCTAATAGAAAAGAGACATAAATAAGTAACAAAAGATATCAGTACCTGTAATCCACGAAACATGCGATGAATAAGTCCTGCTTAACCAGTTGGGACTTACGCAATTATGTAAACCTAACGCATACAGTCCTAATTGAAAAGCACACATATGGAGAGCTCTATGTGGTCCGTGATGGTTTTGACTTGTAGACGGTTGTGTGAATAATGAGGTACTACTTGTTCCGCCGGCTTTGATCAGTACGGTTTTAGCCAATTCGAACATAAAATGAGCTCCCGCTTCGGAAGGTTGATTTGGAATTGAGGGATATGCTCGCTTGCCTTTATAACGTCCATCTTTCGTTCTAGTAACGGCTCCTTGTTGAACCGTTCCCTGTTGGGGATTTACAGACAGGTTGTTCATGCCTTGTTCTAGTTCAGCGCTTGTTGAACTGTGAGGTCTACTGCAACAAGCTGAAAAATAAAAACATAGTAATCTTTTTGTTATTACAAGGGAACAAAAAGGGAAGGAAATGATACGGTAAAAATAAAGTAACATACATATAGAAACAAAAAAAAACTGCATGGAATTTTGTAACTAATTTGGATTATTTTGTAGCCACTGAGGCCAAATCTGAAATCTAAATGTTTGTGAAAGCTCTAGTTTTTTGGCGATTTGATATTTTAAGTGTATAGACAAAAAGTACCATCTGAAGGCGCGTTCTCATTTAGTAACATATCATGTTATCAACAATGTTATTCAACATGTTATCGAAATTCTACTATAATTCAACATTACCTGTTATTTCAACAAGTTGTTTGTTACAAGTTGATGAGGGTAAAGATTAAAGAATGATGGCAACATGTTGGTGCCACATGTTAATACTGCATTCTCACTTAATGTTTTTGAATCTATTTAGAATATATAATACGGGACATATTGTTTGTGATTTGTTTTGATATTATTTGAGTTTTGTGGAAAAAATGGAAAAAAATGTGTGGAGTGTTTAAAAAAAAGCAACTATGCATTTAATTAAATTATTTAGAGACAATAGCGTGTTGTGCGATTACGGTCATAAAGATTATAAAAATCGGCAAATTAAGAGTGAGATGAATTTACCCAGATAGCTACAATGATGGAAATGCAAAAAGATGTAATTAAGAAAACTAAATCTCATTCAGGAGACGGAATTGATGACGTTTACGTGAGCAAGTGGTTTGTGGTTCGTTATTTTCGATAAAGAATTCTGCATGTCTTAAAATCCAAAATGAGGTAATAGTATATCAAATAGTATGTGTCGTATACGAGGTGTGTGAAAAAATATGAATTTTTCTCAAGTACCATTGTTGGTAATATCGAAACATTTTCACAGACTGAGAAATCTCAATACGTTTATCTACGTGTAGTTTTTAATGCTATGGTATACAGACAACCCCTGAGAATTTTTCCTTTATAGAGATGTATATATTTATTGACGTGATACCGTTTACATTAAGAATATTAAGTCATTCAGTGAAAATTGGTGGTAATTTAACTACAAACTACAAAAAAGCCTTACAACAAAGGGATTTTACAGCCTAATTATGGTTTTTATGGCTCTATATATGTAATGAAATAAATAAGTTTCCTTAGATAATAAAAATTACTTACCCATATCTGTAGGTATCATTTCGGTAGGCGGCAAAAACGGACTAATAGGTGTAACTACTTTATCACAGTCTTCTCGTTTTAAGTTCGAATACTGGCTCTTTGTAGGAGGATTGCTAGAGTAATAAGAACTAGTTAGAGGCATTTTCAATAACTGATGTATTTCTTTATCTAACAGTCTATCCATTATCCTAGCCATCTTCCAACAATCGTCTTTGTAGAATATTAGAAGAGCAATGGCAAGGTCGCCACGTTGCCGTCGCGTGCCTTCACATAGCAGTGGATGGTCCGCTTCGGAAACGTTGGCCTTCAAACCTAATGCCGCAACGGCTGCTTCAAAACCTAAAAGGAGAAAATAATAATAATTCCATGTTACTATTGATTTATTTATCTTTGACAACTATACACAAATTTTTAAGTTTAAAGGGCTAATTGAAAAGATCTGAACCGGAGTAGTTGTGGCGAGGGGTCGCTGAAGTAGAGATCGCCATGTTGCCGGCAGTCTTTTAGTATTATCACGCGTTAAGCTGTTATGACCTCATGAATAATTCTCGATTTTAAGGAGCGAATAGGAGTGATGGTTTTTACTCTTTCTCGTAAACACCATGGTCTTCATTGGGGATTTGGTCTTTTACGGATCTGACGAGATTGGATAACTTGGAGTGAGTATCTAAATAAGAACATCAAGGAATGGTAAAGACGCTTCAGACTCAACTTCCATCGTGTTCCAAGATTACGGTACGTTGACAAACAACAGTACTGTTTTGAACATCAGTTCTAAACTGGCTAGATATATTATTGGATTTTATACTTACCTAATGGTTCATCGGACATCATTCTCAAATTGACAAGTTTCGATCTATCTCTTCCAGTAATGTTTGGAATAACTAGAGCGTCGAAAATAAAACTTGCCAGCATAATCGGTAACATGGCTTCTCCCCTTGATCGCAATGTACCTTCTTTGAGCTCCTCAGCCCTTTCTCTAATAATTTGAAGTTCTTTATGACCCAACGGAATCCTTTTGAGTAAATTAACCTGAAAAAACATAATGCGTGACTACTACTTAAAAAACTGCTTAAAAAATCAAATATTACCAAATCTGCTTCTTGATTTGCTAGTTTAACTTCTAATGGTTTTGTACTAGCGGGAGGTCGAGCCATTTCTAGGCCGAACATGCCCACTCGAAACGCTAGATGGAAATGTTCGCTGTTTTCCGCTAAGACAGAACACAAAAAGGCACATTTTGATAGGGTGCCAGACGCCAAACAGCTCAACTGATGGGTAGCGGGATTAACTTGCTGCTTCTTTCCTACAAAAACAACATACAATAAATGACATGTTATGAATGTTACTATCTTAACAATGGGCAACCATATTTGACCATATTAATTTGTTTTTGTTATGTCGAATTAAATGCTTGCCAATAAAGACTCTGATAATTCTCATCATCTAAAGTAAAATATTATATAAGACCAGCTCAGGGCCAGAGTAGTATGAGTCAAAAATTCTAAACTTGAACTTATACCACTTTTAGTCCACTTTATTAGGTAGCTATCATTTGACAAAGTAATCTAGTTTGTAATACGGCTGCTAGAGAGCTCGCAAATGTATTTAATAGGAACATAATCTATATTTAGATTTTATATAAGGTGCTTGAAGCAGAGAAAGAAACTTAAGTTAAACAATTAAGTACTCGGGACATCATGTTTTCAAAAGGACCAAAGTCGGTAAGTTATAAATATTTAAAAAAATAAATAGTCAAAGCATGGCAATACATTTTTTTTTTTCGGTGTCTAAAGGAAGAGGCAATAGAGCGCCAAAAAGAGAAAACAGGGAAGATCTCCAGACGAAGAGAATTGGGGAAAAATGAGACAATTAATAATGTATCCTTAGTAAAAGCGCATATTAATAAGTTTCCAATTACCAAAGCCACTGTAAAAGGGCTTACAATTCAAATATCTTAGCCCAAATCTTAATATAGATATTGACCTCTATAAAGAGTCTGCAGAGGAGAAAAATACTCTCTGAATATTGTGAAATGAAGAGTTTACTTAAAAAAGAAAAAAAAGAAGAAAATTAAAAGACGAACGGAAAATTTGAACCCAATTGAAAATGGGTTTGGAAAAAAAGTATGAGATATACCACTTTGTCTTTGAACGGATCATATCATTTAGACACTTTATTTAGGTGTAAACAAAAATGTATTAAGTACTTTTTTTCATTTTTGAAATAACTTTTTTGTTTTTTTTTTGTTTACACCGATTCAATTATTCTAACAATCATAGTTTATTTTAAAAACAAAAGATTGCGCTTCGGACAGAACTTAGTCTGTTATGGCGGATCACTATAAATTTAAAACCCATCTCCATATCCTCCCAGAAACCGCAGTTTAATAAAAGATGGTTTATTAAATATACTATCTAGCTATCATATCTACGAATAAATATTTTGTTTCTGGGTTTATTTTCCAGTGTCATCAGTTGTTTTCGATTATTTTAATTAAAATACAATTGGACTTACCTTTCTTTTTAGGAAATGGAGGAATTTCGATCATAAGATCTGGTGGATTCATTAACAGTTCTTCGGCCAATTTAACACCCAAGATGCAAGCCTCCCGACTATGCCCGTGTGCGTGCAATCCTTCCGCCCTAGAAAATAAGACATCCCAAGGATCGTCGCACTTTTTCAAACTAGAAAACATCCCTGATTTATCTTCGGATTCTTCCAGTTTAGGGATATTTTGGGGATTGGTATTTAATAAACCAACGTCTTTGCTATAAAGAATATCAAATAAACGTTTAATAATGTGTACAAAAAAAAAGAAATATGAAAAGAAATGTCCACACTTTAGTGAGAAAGTAGTTTAGATTTTATTTTCGACCTACCACTAATTGATAAGCTCAAAGGAAATCGAAACAGTAAAAACAGAAAGCAGATTTTCTCGAGTAATCTCAGGTATTATATAATTTATATTATAGGTAAAACTCTTTGAGCTTAGCCGAGCGTTCGGGTATTTTATTTCCTTTTTCAAGATATTTGCTAATGGTTACTACAAATTAAATCATTCCTCACTGGCAACATATCCGCATTTATAAAAAAATTTAACATTTAGAACGTTCAGGGTTTCTGTCAATAACTTTCTTCTCCACAGATCCAGTACAATGGAGTTTACAGATCACTAATCCGTTCCAAGCTCGACTGTGGATGTTTCATCCATATGTCTGCACCTTAAATTTACTAAATACAGTACACAACATGGCTATCCGCCTATGTCTGGGAGCATTCCGTTCTAGTCCGACAGAAAGTCTTTACTGTGAAGCTTAAAAACCTCCTCTTTGGCTTAGGCGAGAAAACCTTCGTCTTTCCTAAGCTGCTGCAATTTCTTCCAATCCCTACAATCCAGTATATCATTTAATTACATCATCACACCAACCCCATAACAACCCTACATGTAACTTAATTATACATCCTTTTCCTAGTCTTCTACAGCCGTTATTAAAAGATATAAATTTGTCTGAATCCAGAACTCTACTATTCTCCAATAATCCCTATTTGACCTACATACTTTCACATAATGATATTTCCCTCTCCGAAGACGATACCAGTGTTAATTACATTAAGAATTCTCTTACCCTAAAGCCAATAAAAAAAAAAAAAAATTCTCTTTCTAAACTTATAAACAAAAATAAATATAACATAGTTATTTACACTGACGCGTCAAAGACTGAAAGTAGTGTTGGATATTCTGTAACTATTGTACACGAACCTATCGAATTCTATAAAATTTCTCCTTGGTGTAGTAGTCACAATGGTGAACTACTAGCTATCTCACGTTCTTTCAAATATGCCCAACAATATCCAGATACACACATAGCCAATAACACCTCTATATTTCCTCTATACGCTGCATTAATGCTATATCCACCAACCATCCTCCCATCCAAGATATTCATGACACGTATCAGTTTCTTATAGACCAGAATACAACAGTCACTCTGATATGGGTACCATCCCACTTTGGGATTACTGTTTACGAAAAAGACGATTGATTTGCCAAAAAACCGCATCATACATGGACCATTATAATATACAAATATGCAACGATCTAAAAGCTAGACTGAAGAAGCTTAATCTATCCACCTGGCAGATTCACTGGAATACAGTTACTTCAGCGCTACATAGAATTATAAAAATACAGTTTTCAAATTACACCAAATATAATTTTAATGAAAAAAAAAAGATGTTTTAATTTAAAGTAAGCTCAAAGAGTTTTACTGATATCAGTCCAAATCAATTGACTGCATTCCCCAAGAATAAAAATTTTTACATACTTGAACAGTCACGACACATTTATAATTACTTGTATGTGTGTATGTAAGTATATATATTATATATATATATATATATATATAATATATATATATATATATATATATATATATATATATATATAATATATATATATATATATATATATATATATATACGGTATAGGTAAAAGTTTATCGTCAGTATGGTATAATTTAACAGAGTATCTAACACAGATATAAAATAATATTTTCAGCGAATAGACAAAGAAAACAATCATATTTCCCCTTGGTTCCCCCTCCACATTGTTTATACACGCGCATTAGGGAACGCCAGACGATTATTTCCGATCCAGCTTATACGTAAGAAACGGCGGCAGGGTTGCCTTACATATTTGAATTAAAACATTAAATTGATTTATTAAAGTTGCCAAACCAATAAGTTTGGCAACGTTGAACTTCCCCTCTTTTATTATTTCCACTAATGCATTCTTTTTCTCATAATACCTCTCTCTTTTTAAACAGATGTTTCTTACTCCATCTCACGTAAGGTTCATACCGACCATAAACTTTTACCTAAACTGTATATATATATATATATATATATATATATATATATATATATATATATATAATATATAAATGTAAATAACTCCAAGCTGTTTGTATCAGAACTATAAAAATCATTTTACTTCTGACTCCTTCAGAATATTTTAATATATTGTTTCTAACTTTAGAAATACAAATTACCAACCTGTTGTAAAAGTACATGTTGTATTCATCTCCGGACTGCGGAGAATCTGAGTTGGAGCTAGATGTCGAATCGTCTTTCGAGTCTCTTCTTGATGACACCCGTTGCGGTTGGGGTGTCCAAGAAACCGACGTGTTCGGAATCGGAACTGTTTGGGTTGGTTTATAATTTTCTTTGCTAGTATCGTTGTCACTGGAGAGAGAATGTTGCGCTGTGGGCGGCGTTCTTCCATCTTGACTACTGTTACTAGAAGAATCGCTTCCGCCGCCTTCTTGGGAGTCGGAATCGTTAAAACGGTTTTCCTGAAGGAGGTTCATATCATCGTCTACCTCGCAAAATCCTTCACTACTGACGCTAGATCGATTTCCATCTCTTTCGTTAAGTTGGGAATGTGGGGGGAATTCTATCGGATTCATGCTCATGACATTCACATAATCATATCTTGCCGTTACTCTAATGAGGGAATGATGGTGATGGTGGTGATGATGGTGGTGGTGGGAATGTGTCGTATGGATATGAGGATGTTCACAATTTAGAACAGCTTTACTGGAATTTACCTAAAATATGAATCAAAATTAAATCTTAAAAATATTAACCGAACTAGACTATTTGGTATAAGAACCACACTCTCTTTAACTTAAATGATAACTACTTGTTGTGCTTTTCTAGATTCATCTCCATATTTAGATATTATTTTATATGGGCATAGCATTTATTTTATATGGAATTAAATTATTTTTTTAAGTGGGCATTAGCCACTCAACCAGTCTTAACAATTTCATTAAAGGAAAGAGAAAAAGGGCATCATTGCAAGAAAACTTAAAAAATTAAAAGCAGAGCAGGTAAGATACAGACGTCATAACTCGCCTCGTGTTTAGGGAACCATCAAGATCTTACATTTGGACAAACTAGATTAAGGTTATGAGGTAAAAATAGAGCAGAAATGCTCAATTAGGATTCAAATTTATAGCTTAAATATATGTGCATTTAATAATTCGAATAATTCGATTAATTTTTAATTTATCTTACATATTTACATGTATATCACATTTATCGACTGATCAATAAGAGAAATAAGAAAAATGCAGCCATATTAATAGCAACCTGGAATGTTAGAAGCTTATTCTCGTTAGGAAAATTGAATAATGCAGTCAGGTGTGTTTCGGACCTGAACTTTTTTATTCAGTTTGGTATCAGGAATGTAAAAGCGGTATAAGGAAGTGGTCCCTGCTTTGAGTAGAAATGCAATTCGGGAGGTTTTACAGGTCCTCACAGGTCACGCTAACCTCGCGAGACACACCTGTAGACTCAGTCCACCAGCAATGTGTCCCAGTTGTGAGGAGAGGAAAAGACAGACATTTTGTGGGCGACTGCCAGCCTTTGCGAACGCGAGGCAGCAATGGTTACACTCTCACCAAATAACCCTCAAAAAGGCAGTGACGGAGAGCAAGCTTGTGGGGCTTGCCGATGTTATCAAGCAGATTGGGTGTCTAAAATGGAGGCACGAAATTCCGAATAGGGATAAATCTTTATAAATCTCACTGGAAGGAAACTGATAGGGCAAGGAGAATGGGTACAAGACCTGCATCCAGCCGCTAAAGCAGCCCTTAAAAAAAAGACTGTTAATAAATGTAGAAGAGGATCTAGAGTAAAATAACTGTGAGAGATAAGAAAAGATGGAGAGAAAGATGGAGATTATATGCATTGTTTGCAGATGTGTATAAAGAATATAGTCAGAATTTAATATTTGTTCTTTACCAGAGGCCTAGTCATTTGACCTCTTTAAAGCCAATTTGTAACTTGAAGATGCTTTTTATTATAATATTATAACTAATAAGCTATTAAATAAACACCACAAAAAAAACTAATAAAGTGTAAGATACGCTTGATTCACATACACATAAATACCAATATAAAACCATACCTGAGTAACTTGACTTTCTCCTCTACTGCTATCAGCTCCATGTCTGAAACAGGTAAAGGGACAGTGATACATTGGATTTATATCCTGTGTGTAAGTTATGCCAGGCATCGGGTAGTCGTCCCAATCGAGGTAACAAGCTTCTATAGCTGGTTTGAATCCAGTAAAAACTTCCAAGTCCATCTTTAGACTTGCTGAATTTTTACTGTAATGCGACTGCGAACTGGACGTTGTGTTACGGCACTTGCTAACTTTTTCCAAAATTTTTAAATGCCATGTAGTGAACTGGAAAAAAAAACATTGCATTAATTTTTTTGTGCATTAATTCTTTTTTAAATGTATAAAAAAATACCGTTTTATGCCGTTTATTTTTTTGCTATTAAGTAGTGGTGGGTTGCGATTTCACGAACTGCAACTTTGTCACTGCTACAACGCTGTCACAGTCACAGTCCGCTACAGCTGGAATAATATAGCAGTGACATGTGACATTAAGTCACGTTTTATTCTACTGTGACTGCGCCACTTCGGTCCGGTGTACGCTACACAAGACGTTGCGCTGGTCCATAGATCGTATTTGCGACAGTGACAAGCCTTGTTGACGGAGCATTTTCAAAATGGAGCAGTCGCTCTCATATGCTGACTGTGACTATTATTTGCTATTTGTAACATAAGGAACGACGTGATCGAGCGTGGGAAAATAGCACCGTTAAAAATCCTTAACAAGTTATTTTTTAAGTCATATTAAATTATCATAAGGTAAAAAACATTAGAATTGAATAAAATAAAATCAATATATCTACTTATTTCTTAAACTTTTAAAGGGAAAATCACAATAACCAAAGATAAAAATAAAACAGAGGTACAAAAAACAAAGCAGTACAAAAAATATTGCCTAAAATAATTTTTTTAATAAAGTACTATGGTAAAGTTTTATAATAAAGTCTATAATAATATTTTATAGTAAAGATTTATAATAAAGTAAAGTATAACATATAATTATAAATAAAGTTTTGTTTTGTTTTAACATAAAAATAGAGAAACTAATAATGATAAAGAACTACTGACTACATATAATACTTTTATAATACAAACCTATATAATAAACAAAAATACAGAAAACAACAAGCATGTCTTTTGCTTAAAAAATAAGATAAAATAAAATATATTTTGGAATATTAAAGGTAGCAATAGTAGCAGGGTAGCAGTTAAGATTAAACTGCTCCAAAAAATCACTGCTTTTTGTCACCGTGACAATACTGGCGCAGTCACATTTTGTCACAGCTACACAAAAATCGCAGGTTGGCCCACCACTACTACAAGAAAAATATAAGTTTTACATGTAAATTTCTTTAAATAAGAAAGATATCTAGTCTAAGAAGCGAAGGATTTAACATAACCATTTTTCAAAATGCATCGGTTGACTTGTAATTTGGACATAGGTAGGAAATAGCACAAGGATCAAAATGCATATTATGCTAAAGGGAATACATAGGTAGGGAATAGCACATAGATCAAAATATATATTATGTCAAAGGGCACATTCACTCTATTGGTGGTTGCCACCCCATTTCGTAGAATGGTAGCGGAACGTAAATGTTCCATACATACATGGAGAGAAAATAAGTCAAGTACTTTCCCCTTGTCTCGATTATAGATTCCATCGTTCCTGATATGGATAACCGTCGCTATTTGCAGCCGTCCATTATAGTTAGTATTATGCTCAAAATATAACGGTTTTAACACATTTCAAACATAGAAGTATTAAGCGGAATAGATGTATCAGTACAGATGATCTTCATTCTCAGCATGGATTTACTGTATGGCTACTATGTAAATTTTATACTTACATACTGTCTTTAAGAAATAAGATGGTTTGGACATACCATTAAACTCTTCTAAGATTGTTGTTATCCGGGGCATACCTCGAAGCCTTATTCATTATATAAGAACTCATTATTAAATAATTTTGTTATTTTTCAATATATTAGTTCAGTTAATCATATATCCTCGACAGGAAGTTCTCATCATTTTGGGCGATTTTAATGCCAAGATTGGAGCTGGAGATAAGACACAGACATTGGAGCACATGGACTTGAAGTCAGAAACGAGAGAGGAGACCTACTAGAAAAATTAGGAATCAAATAGACTACATTTTAGTAAATAAAAGTTTCCGAAACAGCTTTACATCTGTCAAGACTTATCCTGGAGCAGACTTGGAGACAGACTACGTTCCACTGGTGGGAGTATTTTAAGTCAAACTCAAAACAGTGCAGAAAAGGAAAGCACAATCATACAACCTACGTATGCTGAAAGACCTTGATACGAGGATGAGAGTCCAAGCCACGTTAAATGAGCAAGTGACTGCAATTAGAGACGAATCGAACGAAGAACAAACGATCAAACATATTACAGAAATAGTGCAAAATGTAAAGGATAAACGCTTAAAGACAGATAGATTAATGAAGAAAAAATCATGTATGACAGATGAGATCCTGAACTGAAAAGAGAAGCCAAAAATGACCCAGACAAATATAAAGCCATAAATATATTAATAAGAACGAAAATCAGAGAAGCGAAAGAAAAAGAGGCAAGGGAAAGACGTGAAGAAATTGAGACTGCCGTGAAAGTACGATAGTCACAATGTATATAGGAAAGTTACAGAACTCACAGGGTGACTAAGACGAAGGCAGAAAGGAAATATAACTGATTCTGACGGAAACATCGTCTTGGACAAACAAAAACTATTTGAAGACCAAAGAGATAACACCTTTGAGCTAGAAGAAGAGGTAAATGATGGACCAAGAATATTACAGCAGGAAGTTTATTCCGCAATAACACAGTTAAAGGATGGCAAAGCGGCAGGCCTTGATAATAATTGCCCTTCATATCTTGTGATTGCTAAATATCTCATTAAGATAAAATTCGCCCCTTCACAAATAAGATCCTGACACTTCGCTAGACTATAATATCTCCGATTATCAGTTTCTTCCTTTGAACTACAATGTCTGAAGTAGTATTTTCTATGTTGTAGACCAACGTAAAGAGTTTTTTCATTGATTATTCCCTCGTTCTGGAAATGCCTGTTAAAAATCGCTGTTTATTAATAAATGTAGTTTAGTTTCGAAATTGTAGACACCCAATTCTAGTAAGTAGTTGGTCTTCGAGTGACGTACATTTTTTTGTAAGGGTGAGAGGTAGCGCTACTTGTATTTAAGAATTAAAAAAAAATATGTGTACTACTATTCTCTTCTTAGCGCTAAGAAATTTCTGAACAAATATATGGGATCGGCCATAATGCAACTGAATAATTTAGACATCGGATTACATAGACTAAGAAAAATGCAAATACAGTATGCTAAAATTAAATCAAATTATTAAATTTATCAAAATCAAATTTAGTAATTTGTGGTATATTTTGTAGTATTTTGTGAAGTGTAAGAGGAAAAATATTGCATCAATTACAAATTTTATGATACACCCTGATACAAGCAGAACTACTTACACTAATGGACAACGAATCAATAGCAATAATCACAAAGATATTCAACAACATATACAACTCTGGAGAAATACCCACAGAATGGCTGAAATGAGTTTATTGCACTTACAAAAAAACAGGAGCCAAAAAATGCGAAGATTACCGTACTATAAGCCTCATGAGCTATCTCCTAAAATTGTTCATAAAGATAATCATAAGAGAATCTACAAGCTGCGTGAAAGTAAAATTTCCCCAAACCAGTTCGGGTTCACAAATGCTGTTGGTACTAGAGAGGCTTTGTTCTCAGTTCAAGTCTTATTCCAGAGATGCAGAGACGTCAACTGCGACGTATACGCATGTCTGGTTGATTAGGAGAAAGCGTTTGATCTAGTACAGCACGCCAAGATGATGCAAATACTAAAAGAAACAGGAATTAACAACCAAGATCTGAAAATAATTAGAAATCTTTACTGGAATCAGACAGCAAATCTCAGAGTTGAAGGTGAACACACTGGCTATGTGAAAATCATGCGTGGAGTGAGGCAAGACTGTATTTTGTCTCCTCTAATCTTCAATCTGAACTCTGAATGAATATTTATCGAAGCTTTGTACGAAACTGAAAAAGGTATTCTACTAAATGGTTACCGGCTGAACAACTTCAGATATGCAGATGCCACCATAGTATTTGCGGACAGCTTAAAAGACCTACAAGTTCTTATGAACAAAATGACGTATTACAGTCAACAGTATGGACTCAATATAAACTTAAGAAGACAAAGCTTATGATAATTAGCAAGAAAAGGATATCAGAAGGTCAACTTTACGTCAACCCAACCCCTGTAGAAAGAGTGACGCACTACAGCTACCTCGGCACCATAATAAATTAAGAATGGACCAACAACCAGAAGATTCAGGAGAGACCAGGAGCACGCATCGGAAAAGCTAGATCTACCTTTCTTCAAGAGTCACAACCTCTCCATTGATACAAAAGTAAGAATGCTGCGGTGCTACGTCTTCTCTGTCCTTTTTTATGGTGTTGAATCGCGAACCTTGAACGAAGATATGTGTAGAAAACTGGAAGCATTTGAGATGTGGCTATATCAGAGAATGCTTAAGATCCTGTGGACTGACCGAGTAACAAATGAGGAGGTCCTCAGAAGAATCAATAAGAACTGAGAGGTACTGACTATCAATGACCTAACTGACCTTGCAATCAAATCTCGAAAGTTATAGTTCTTCGGACATATGCGAAATGAATCCAGATATGCTCTCCTTCAAGCCTCCTGCAAGGAAAAATAGGGAAGGAGAAGAACATCTTGGTTAAAGAACCTCAGAATCTGTGCTGATGTAGATAAGATAAAGACTGCCATGATGATCGCCAACATTCGTAACGGATAGGCACATTAATGGAATAATACCTAGGGAATGGCTCCGTTCGACCTTTATACTACTGCCAAAAAAGGCAAATACAAAGGAATGCAACGAATATCGTACGATAGCTTTGATGAGTCATGCTCTAAAACTGTTCTTAAAAATAATCCATAATAGGATCTATAGGGAATTAGACGTAGACATCAGTAACACTCAGATGGGATTCAGAAAAGGGCTGGGTACAAGAGAGGCTCTGTTTGCAATGAACGTTCTCTCACAGAGATGCTTAGACATGAACCAAAAAATTTACGCCTGCTTTATTGATTTCGAAAAGGCCTTTGACAAAGTACAACATGAACCACTAAGACAAGCTCTAATAAAGAAAAATATAGACAGCCGAGATGTTCGAATTATATGCAATCTATATTGGAATCAAACAGCAAATGTCAAGGTTGAGGGCAGACTAACAGAAGAAATTCAAATCCGTCGAGGAGTCCGGCAGGGATGTATCTTATCGCCACTTTTATTTAATCTGTATAGTGAAGCTATCTGTGAACAAGCACTCGAGGAAGAAGATCTTGGTCTGATAATAAATGGTGAGACGATCAACAATATAAGGTATGCTGACGATACAGTTCTAACGGGAACGCTAGTAGAACTACAACATCTCATTCAAAGTCTCAATATATACTGTAACAGTTACGGCTTGAAAATTAATTTGAAAAAAACTAAATTTATGGTAATCACGAAATCAAAGAACATCAGAGCTAATCTTGTAATAGACAATACAACGATTGAGCGTGTGCCCTGTTATAAATATCTAGGTGCTTGGATCACAGACGATACTGATCAAACAAAAGAGATTAGATGTAGAATAGAAATCGCTAGATCAGTCTTTAATAGAATGCGCAAACTCTTTTGCAATCGTGATATCAATATAAAGTTACGAATACGAATGCTGCGGTGTTATGTCTTTTCTAGCCTGTTATATGGAGTTGAGGCTTGGACACTAAAACAGTTGACCATAAAAAACATCGAAGCTTTCGAGATGTGGTGCTATAGGCGCATTCTCAGAATATCATGGATGGACCGCGTCACTAACACGCAAGTACTCCAAACTTTAGACAAAAGATGCGAAATTCTAAATGAGATAAAAACTAGAAAGATGGAATACTTGGGGCACATTGTGAGAGGTGAAAAGTACGAACTTTTAAGAAACATCATGCAGGGCAAAATTAAGGGCAAAAGAAGTGTAGGAAGAAGAAAAAATATCGTGGCTTCGTAATCTACGTGAATGGTTCGGGTGTAGCTCGATTGAACTTTTTAGGCGCGCTGCTAACAAAGTCGCAGTGGCCATGATGATTTCCAATCTCCGCTAGAAGTGGCACGAGAAGAAGAAGAAGAAGAAGGCACATCAAGAAGACGAATAAGAATCATACATTTCAAATGGCCCTTACCATATGATTGTAGTAAACTAAGAGTATGCATAGAGAGCGCAATGATAAATTTTAGTTAAAGGTTTTATATGACCTCTTTAATGTAAATATGCAACACTTTTTGTTACAACACTTTTTGTGTCTAGTACACATTCATTTGGGGAAATTGGCCCAAAACGGCTAAGACGTCTCAATTTAATATTAAAATTATATTTAAAATTAACACTTGCCTGGTTGTGTAGCATGTCTCTTTCAGTTGGGGCTAGACCGGGGTTCAATGCTGCCAATCTCCAAAGAACAACTACTTCATCACACAACGACGAGCAGGCATGTTGAGAAGCATGCGTGTTACTATTAACGTTGTTGTGTTTTCCTCCTCCGGTTCCTCCATAACCAGAATTACCGCTAAGCAATGCTACCTAAAAATATATTAAGTAATTACAAAATCAAGGTAATTAATACAAATCTTTACAAATGTTTAAGTCAGCGTACTGCTGGAATATAATAAATTTACCATAAACTTTTTTGCACTTATTTATCAAGAAGATTTATTAAAGAACTGACGTACCTTGGTGTTAAACCACCAAATAAGGATTTGTTCGCATGCAAGACATTCCTCGGTGATAATCTCCAGAAGTGGAATAGCGTTTCGGTCATTTCGTTTGAACATCTCCCGAACAATACTAAGGAGGTTCCACATTCCCTCGGGTTCTCGTCCGCGCAGCGGACGTAGAAGTGACGTCCATTCTGCTGCTGCTGGTGGTGCCACTGTACTCAGATAGTTGACATCGCTAAAAAGTTAGTAACGTTAAACTAGTTTACCTTTTTATTAGATTGTAATGTGTTCTATTCAGACCAACGCGAACTTTTTATGATTAAAATTCAGACGCGCCAAGAAAACTGTTAATCTATTGAAATATTTTCTGCTGTTCATGCTAAACCATGTTATGTCACTGACAAATAATAGCAAAAAAATTACCTTACGGGATATGTAGCTCAAAAAAGAATGAAGCGAAGTAATAGCTTATGAACCATATGCTAATAGCATATCGACGTCGCACATAGGGGTATTTGAACGATTTAGGCGGCCAAAATTATTTTTATAGTGTATTGTATTTTAAAAAATGTTATTAAGCCGGACGGATAGTTTTTATTAAAAAAAAAAAGTTATTAACAAAATATACTTTATTTTAATACTTTTGTTATTATTTTGAAATCAAAATATTAACAATATTCCTAATCCGATATAACTTACTATCTTAGAGTATTTGTTATGATTGCTGTTAATAACATAGTAATTAAACACTTATGGGAATGCCTTTGTCCAGCAGCGGATGCAAATATACTGAAGAAGAATAATCACTCAGAATCACTAGTATCACTTTCACGATCATCTAAAGGCACATTTACTCCTTCGCTTCCGGAAGAGTATCCAGCTGGGTTGGGATCTGTAGGTAGCAGCATTTGCAATGTTTCAGATAAGAAACTACTTTTCTTTTCTTTTTTTATTTGCCTCCTACAACTCATCAAAGGGTCCGAACTCAAAAGTAGGCGATTGAAAATATCCCTGTTGCAGCTTTCTCTTGAAAATTTCCGTGCGAAATCTTGGCGATAAGACCGGAAGTGCTTGTTTCGCGCTTCTGCGGCTTCTTCAGATAGCTGCCCAATTGGCAATAATGCATTTTTTATAATTATTGCACCATGCATGAGTATTTTGTGCAATGTGGTCGTCATGGGGTGCCATGGATAGAGATCTATATATAAACGAGCAGTTTCTTTTGCGTAAGTATCGTATTTATCATGGTCAATTTTGTGACCGCTTGAAATAGTCTCCAAAATCACTTTTAGTCTGTATATTAATTCGAAATTAATACCTGTAATTTCTGAAGCAACTTGGGGATTCTCGAAAAATCTTCGGCTTGTATTTCCGTCATTTGTATTGCCGAAATTCGCCTTTGGCATGTCCACAAGCAATCCAGTTTCTTTACGAAATCTCTCCTGGATTTCTTTTTTCCTTTCTTTTTCCAAATGTTTTTCAGCTTCTGTTTTTCTTGCCCTATATTTTTTCACTGGCAATTTGTACGCCAAATGCAGAATACTTTCAAATACTCTTATTCTGGCATGTAATACAGAGAGTCCGAATTGAATTGCCCTATCATCAACACAGTTTGCTCTGTCTAAGTTATTGAAATCTTTTGAAGTAGCACCGCAAATATAACATCGGCTTGTCGATGTAGTTCCTGTGGCAGCATTGCAGACCTTTCCGTCCACCATTGTCATTATAAATTCATATTTGACTCTAAATTGTTGGCCACATAAGTCAAAATCGGTTGCAATAAGCGAGTTAATAGAATTATTGACATAATCAATTTCTTCTTTAATGGTATCACTGGTCTCTTTGACAAACCTAAACCTTATTGGCCGACAAAACCTAGGAGAAGAGGGTGTGGGGTTTTCCCATACAGTTTTTTCATTTTTTTGTCCACATACAAATTTTAAAGGAACAAAGCAGCTTTGAAATATATTGGAATCACTGTCCTCATCACTATCGAACTTTTGTTTGTCCTGAGATTGCTGGGACCCATCACAGCCCCATTTGCAAATTAATTTTAGCGTTTCTCGTTCTTTCTCTTTTAACGATAGTAAAACTTCTTCTAGGTACTCCGATAATCGTCTAACGGTAAGGTCGATCAAAGGCTGCAATTTAGCTTCCGCACTAGTGCTAGTTACAGTGCAAGCTTCAGGTGGCGGATAGCATTTCTTTTTTTCTTTTTGTAGCAGACTGTAACACGGAAAGAAGTTTTTATTCGTGCTTCTTATTACATCATATTGTGCTCGTGTTAGGTCTGCGTCTATGAACATTTGGCTGGCTTCCTGGATAGTCAAAGGATTAATTTTATCTCTCAAAGACTTTGTGTGATTGTATGCCTTTTTATATTTTGATGCGCGAGTTGGCGAACATATCATTCCTTTGAGTACATTGGAAGCGTCTCTCTTTCCTGTTTCTTGTAACTTGACTTGAGCAGCATGCACTAGAGTATCTTCATCGAAGTTGGAGCGAATATCTTGTGTTCTCCTTCGTTTACTTCTTTCACTGAGATCTCCAAAAGTTTTATGAGGTCGTCCTGGCCGATTTGCCGTACTATCGGTAACAGGAATCGCAAAGGTCCCCTCGAGCCAAGAATCGTTATATTTAAGAAATACATCTTCTCTATTATGGGCTTTCGTCCATCTTTTCTTTATTTCTGACTTGAAATGCGCAAAATTACTTTTCAGTATTCCGATTTGGTCATTAGTGTAGTCTTCATTAGACAAAAGTTGACTTTTTTAAACAATTTAGTTTTTCTTCTAAATTAGGTAAATTTTCATTTCTCATACGATCAAACAAGTATTTCCTGGTTACAATCTTCATCCCAGATGTACCCCCTGAACCTAAAACAAATAAATATTTCGTTTAAGGCAAAAACAGATAAAGAACATTTTCGGAAAATTTAAGTCCTTAATTCTCTCATTACCTTATAATTTTCAAAGTACAAAATTTTTAATCATCCGGGATTATCCGTGGTAAATTCTTTGACTTTCTAATAGCTATAACATTGAATTATACATAGTAATAAAAATAATTGCCCGATCTATTCCGATAGACATGAAAATCTACCACACAAATAATTTTTTTTGAGAAAATTTGGATCAAAAACAACTTATTTTCAGAGCTATAAAAGTAAATTAATAAACCAATAAATCAAATAGATTTTAATATATATTATAAGCTACTAACCTCCTGTTTGAGAATCCATGATTTTTTTCTACATAAACAAACTTAATAAAGTAAAATATCACTTTGTAAATAACGTTTATAGGAGCGCCGAGAACCGATACACGTGCACGAGGTGATAAGATCTAATTCAGACTGACCGTGCACAAATGTGAGTGGAGGTCAGGGGTCGGAAGGGCTTGGGTACTATTCTCGGAAGGTTCTTTTACCTCAGGCATATATTTTCGTAGACGTATTTATTTTTTTAAAAAATCGACTTTTGGCCGCCTAAATCGTTCAAATACCCCTATGTGCGTCGGAAAGGCAGGACCTTGTAACTGACAAATTTTCAAAAAATGAGTTATTTAGGTTTTCGCTTTAGAAAAAGTAGCGGCATCTATTAATCAGGCCAAAAGCACCTGAAATTACGAAAGTAACTAATAGCGAAATTGACAATTCAGAAGATTACCAGCCTCGAGAAGATTCTAGCGCGGATTCTAGTAATAAAACAACTAATGACTCGAGTGATGAAGACAGAAATCATAAAAAGCGGAAAGTGGTCAAAGCACAAAACAAGAGACATATAAATAAGAAGTTAAGTTTGAACGGACAAGATTATTTAGGATTTAGGAAACCCAGAAACAAGAAAAACACATTTCACGATGTACATAGAAAAAAAAGGCACCTGAAACATCGTTGTACTTGCAAACAAAAGTTAAGTAAAGAATGTTCTGAGATTTCTGAACAAAACAGAGAGAAATTTTTTTCCAAATATTGGTCACAAATGAATTGGGACCAGCGCAGGACTTTTGTAGTCAATACTGTTAGTATAGGTGAGAAAAGAAGGCCTATTGAAACTGAATCTAGGCGATCAATTACATTACACTATAACTTGGTAGTAAATAATGTTTCCGTGCATGTATGCAAGACAATGTACTTAAATACATTGTCTTTGGGTGAATGGTCTGTGAAATCTTGGGCTACGAAGTCAGAAGAAGGTATAAGTTCCAGTCCAGACTTGCCTCAAGACCAAAACGTAAGGATACTTTTGAGGAGGACAGAAATTTTTTAAAATTATTTTTAACTAAGCTAAATAAACTTCCATCCCACTATTGTCGGAAGACTACAGATAGATCGTATCTAAAAAAAATATTTCAGTCATGGGTTGATGTGTATAAGATTTACGAGAAACGGTGCAAAGAGGGAAAATCCTGAAGTACTTTCTTTAAAACTATTCAAGAACGTGGCAAACCAGATGAAAATTTCTTTGTTTTGGCCTCGCAAAGATCAATGTGACATTTGTTTTATGTATAAAAATGGCAATTTCGAGCAAGAAAATTACGAAAAGCATATTTCAAAGAAAAATTTGGCGAGGTCTGAAAAAGAACAAGACAAGGAAAAAGCAGTAAAAGGAGAATGGCATTTAATAACTATGGATGTTCAAGCAGTGAAGTTATCGCCACAAATACCTGCAAGCGCACTTTATTATAAGACTAAATTGTGTTGTCACAACTTTACGTTGTATAACTTGGTAACAAAAAAAAATATGTTTGCCAATGGTTTAATTAGACAGAAGCAGAAGGCCAAGCTTCAACCTATGCCTATTTTTTGATAGAATATCTAGAGGGAGAATTTTTGAACAAAGATAAGTTACCTATTAATATTATATTCGAACGGCTGTACTACCCAAAACCGAAATTCAATACTTTCTAATGCCCTGCTCTACCTAGCTGACAAATATAAGGTACTAATTGTTCAAACATTTCTTGAAAAGTCAGATGGAGTGTGACTCAGTTCATAGTGTAATAGAAACACGTTTGAAAAATAAAGATATATACTTACCAAGTGATTACCTAAAAATCATACAAGAAGCTAGGCGAACTCAGCCATATGAAGCAAGAAATAGAAACTTTGACTTTTTCCGAAATTTTGGAGAAGAGTTTAATAGAAAAGTCTATAAGACCTTCAAGAACAAGTAATTCGAATTAAGTAGTTACGGATATTCGTGCGCTTCAGTACAGAGATGGTAAAGTTTCATACAAAGTGGACTTTGGTGACGATTTTCAGGAAATACCAATCCGGCCTAATAAAATTGACTTCAAATCTGTGACATTTCCTCCTCTATACAATTCCAGAAATCCGATAACAAAAACTAAATTTGACCACCTTCAGGCCATAAAAAATGTCTTCCACGTGGAAGTTAGGATTTTTATGATTCCTTGCCTTATAATAACAAAGAAAAATAGTTTAAATTTTTAACCAAGTCTTATTTAAAAATAAGACGACGTTAATATGTTATTATTTTTCTAATAAATGATTCAAAGAAATAAAGTTGCTTTTTTTATTTTAAATGGAAGCATTACCTCGTAAGTGAACTCTTAGATAAAACATTACTCGTAACTAGTGTCATTTTACTTTAAATTCAAAATTACTCTAAAAAATATTTGCTTGTTTTATTTTACTCACCAAAGATAATCCTATTTCACTTTCATTTGTGCAAATTATTATATTTCATTTCATAAAATATAATAAGATGCACCTTAAATGAAAAATTATACGGTTCTTTTGCTCTCCTGTAAAATCATCATCTTGTCACTTACGAGTTCCTGCTTTTCCGCCGTCGATATGAACCATATAAAATTTAAAACATTCAGTTTTTTTACAAAGAAAACAGAATTAACGTCAGTTTTTATCTAAGACAAAGGAATTTTACTCGTCAAGTAGTACTTGTAGTACTTGAGTAAAATTCCCTACTAAGGTTTTTATAAATGTAAGTTAAAAACTGTGCAAACAAGTATAAAAAAATGAGTATAAAAACAGAATACTTTATAATCATTTTTTATATGGTTAATGTTTGGATAGGAATTCAAACAGGTCCATTTTAGTACTGTTCCAAAATAATGTGCCATTTTTGACAAACTTATATATCCTACTCAGCAAATTCACAAATTCCAGCTAACACGATCTGGTTTCAGCAAGATGGAACACCGTTACATTACCAAATTGATGTTCGGCAGTATCTCAACCGCATGTTTCCAAATAGGTGAATAGAGGGCGAAAATCGATGGAATGACTAGCAGGACCACCTGATCTGACGTTATTAGATTTCTTCTTACAAGAGTGTCAAAACTAATGTATTCAAAACTAAAACTCTCAATTAACTTCTCCTACCATGGGATATTAGCAAAAATTAAAATATTAGTAGCATAGGTAATGATCTATCATTTAACTTATCTGTCAAATTTATTTATATTAAAACTATGATTTTACTATCATTAATAAACTGAACTTACCTAAAAACAATAGGCGCTGGTACACAAAACTTAATCAGAATCTTTTTGATGTTATCATGAAGAGTCTTTTCATCCAAGTACCAAGACGTTTGGTCATTAGCGGACGCACCCGCAGTTGGATCAGGTGCTCCGCACACCGAGTTAATGGCCGATGGCTGAGAGCCCAAAAGTTCGTCGAGGAGTCGTTGGGCAGTGGGTAAAATTTGCTGGGGAAGTTCACTAATGAGGTACTGGGCGAATTTTTGAAGCTGATCGCGCTGAAGGCGAGACAGCGATTCGGAGACTGGAGCACGAAGAGTAACCAACTGAGGCTATAAAAAACAAAAATATCATTAGCCAATTTTCTTAAATACAAGCAGAAAAATCAAACATGAGTCAAAAATGTACTGAGTATGAGCAGTTAATTTAATTAGTCAAAAAACGTCCTGTGCAACTACAATCTAAAAAATTGCAAAGCCATTATTTTAAGGAATAACTTGCCTTCCGCTGGTCGATTTAAAAATAATTCATTTACTTTTTTTTTAATTGGTAGCATTAGTCAATATGACATGTTTTGTGTGACACGCCATTACATTTTACTTGTATAATTCACTCGCATTAACCTTTTCTATTTGTCTTACAGGTTTTAACGTTTGGCATTCCTTTCCTCAGGTAGCTGTATCTTCCTCCTTGGTTATTGTTAGTTGTTGCCCTGGAAACCATCAGGGCCTTCTAACTCTAATGCTACAAATTGGTTGCATTGCTCCTGTAGTGATCCTTTCCCAAGTTAACCTGCTCTTTTATAAACTTGGCTGCACCGTGCTGAAGACGACCAATAGTCAGAAATACGTATATACGGTTGCCTTCCATCGATATACCTATTTTGTTTTTTGTTTTCCTGTTTTGCGCGAGACATGACATTACATTTTACTTATATTGAGGTCAATATTTGTAAAACTCGCTAATCGACAAAAGTTTCCAAAAATTATTATTTTTTGATAAGTTTATTTCAATTTTATATAATGATCAGAATTTCCCAAAACTTGTTCTTTAGCATAAAAATACTGTGGAGAAAATTAACAGTTATTTGCAGAATTCGCTCTTTGCTTAGAATGTTTGCCTGCGTTCTTTGCTCTACCATAAATGAAACTTGCCGGTTGTTTCACGCGAGGAATACGGTACTACAACAGCTGTGTCGAAGAAACAAATTTTCAGTAGTTTATAATTATTCAAGCGATTAAACAGTTGTATTTTGACGAATTAGGAACAGTTTTTGAAGTTATATTTCTATACGCACGGTCGGCGTTGAAAATTTTCATGGGAGTGAATCTGTGAAACCATTACATATGTAAGATAATGAGTAAGAGAGAGACAGAAGATATATTTTCTCTCTCGTCCTCTCTCATTATTATACATTTAATATTATATATAATATTATATATATATATATTATATATAATATTATACAATGGAACCTCGATTATCCGTCTCTCTATTAACCGTCACCACTGTTAACCGTCAGGGTCCATCCATAAGTTATATTAACTTTTTGTTAGGGTCATACATAAGTTATATTAACTTTTTGTTGAAACATTGCGATAAGCCAAAAGAAATTCGATTTAAAGAAAAATGCTGAAGGAATTGAATGGCATGCTTCGCAAATGGAATCGTTGGGTGGCCGGATGAAACATCGTAAGACAATGAAAAACGCCACAAATGAATCACTCGACAGGGCACTGTATTTGTGATTCGTTCAAAAAAGAAGCGAAGATGAAAAATTGAGCGCGGCAAGTATTGAAGTCATTGACAAATATAATGTTTATCTATTTTTCTAACTTCTTGTTTTTAGGTTTTCTCATTTTGGACAATGCACCTGCTCATCCTGAAGCCGGTATGCTGCGAGTGATGATGGCAATATCACGTGCTTTTTTCTGCCTACGAATACATCATTGATACAGGCAATGGATCAATCGGTCATTAAAACATTCAAAATAAGATACAGAAAAAAATTGATTCAAAACTTAGTCATGGAAGAGGAATATTCTTTGCCAGAATACTGGAAAGCATACAATTTCAAACACGCAGTCGACAATGCTGTGGATGCTTGGGCTGATGTTTCGTAAGTAACGCTGAAAAGAGCGTGGAATTAATTATAGCCTGAATCAACTCAAGATTAAAATGCCCCTGTGACAGCCGAGCATGATGCGGTAACAAATAGCACCTTGCCAACCTAACTCTTAGTTCCAATTTTAAATCCCTTGTACATAGGACTCTTCTCATTTTGTTGAAATTTGCTCTAGCCTTTTCTATTCTGATTTTCATCTTCTGAGTGTAATCATTTGTGGAGTTAATCATTGTTCAAAAATATGCTTATTTGTCCACTTGTTCGACGTTGGTTCCGTTTATTATAAGATTCTCGTTATTTCTTTGAGTTTTCGATATTCTCATAAATTTCACGTAAGTTCTATGCTCTCCAGATCTCCTCTTTCATCATCGAACAATTCGTCGATATATTCTACCCATCTTTGTACTTTCTCGTCCGTATGTGTTATAGTAGTCCCGTGTCTATCCAGAATTGCACGAGTGGGATTTTGTTTTCTTAGTCCTGCTAGTTGTTTAACTTTCTTATGTAGATTAAACAGATCATATTTATTTTGAAGGTCTTCGATTTCTTTGCATTTCTCTTCAAAGTATTTTTCTTTTGCCTGCTCTATCGTCTTCCTGATCTCGTGGTTTATCTCTCTGTATTTATTGTTGTCTTTGTTTTTAAATTGTCTCCGTTGTTCCATCATATTGAGTATCTCGTCATTCATCCATTCTTCTTTTCTCCTTGCGGAAGTCTTTAGTATTTCTTTACAGGGTTCCAATTGACAATTTGCTGCAGTTCACATGCAGTTCATGTTGGAAGCATTCTTTTACTTTAGGTTCTTTAAGTTTTCTTGTGTCTCTGGTAGGTATTCTTTGATGTCTTTTAATATTTTTAAGGGTGAGTGTAATCTTGGCGATAAGTGGATTGTGATCTGAGGCCACGTCTAATCCTGAATATGCTTTTACGGCTTTCACATCATTACGGTATCTTTCATTGATCATAATGTAGTCTATCTGGTTCCTGAGTACTTTCTCCCGACCTATCTGCGGGAGATCGCCATGTATACAGTCTGTAACGACGGTCTCCTTTCTCGTTTCGATTTCCCAGACCATAGTTTCCTATACACTTTCCGCTTTGTCCCTTTCCAATCTTTGCATTAAAATCACCTAGGACTATCTTGATTTCTCTTGTTTTGGTTATTCTAAGTGCCTCTTCGATATCTCGGTACAATAATTCCACTTCTTCTTCGTCGACATTCACTATAGGAGCATAAACTTGTATCAAATTCAGTTTGGCATGAGATGTCACCAACTTCAGTACCATTACCCTTTATGAGATAGGAAATAGCATTCCACAGCTCTATTAGATTTTTTATTAACTATTACTGTCACGCCGTGTCTGTGTTGATTATTCTCGCTACCGGAATAATATATTGTGGCTTCTTCTGTTGAAAATCAACCTGAGTTAGGCCACCTGGCTTCACTGATACCCAGTACATCGATATTCAACCTCTTCATTTCTTGAATAACATTGTGCATTTTACCAGATTGAAATATGCTCTGACCATTCCAGGCTCATATTCTAGTGTTGGACAGTCTTATTTTATCATATACGTTCTTTTGAAAAGGAATTCGCTGATTAACGACCTGAGAGTCCTTGTCTTCTTCTCCCCTGCCGGATATTGGCTTCCGAGGGCCATGATCAGTAACGCCGTTAGTTTCTAAAACCATGATGATTGTACTAGGGATATCCATGGGATCTTTAATGTAGTGGTTTCCAATTTTTTTTCTACATCTTTATTATGCCGTTGACCAAGATCTTTATTCCTCCACCTTCGAGACCGATTTCTCAACCCAGGACAAATAGGGTGCCCTACTAACTACCAATTCTTCCGCCTAGAGCCGTTGATTAGCAAGTGTGGGATTGCTTATACCGGCAAACAGTCGGTGAAATTTTCGCCATATCTGGCTTACCCTCACCAGACTTCGTAAATATTATTTTCGTAAACTTTGACTTTTCTTATGGTAAACAACATTGACAGATTCAAAATCCACCGTCTGGTTTAACAGCAACAAATTTTCAAAACAATTATTTTCGTGAAATGATGGAAATCCCTCGTAAAAATGTTCTATGATTTTAAAGTTTGCTTATTCGTGTGAAGATCTTCTACGATTTTAAAGTTGGCCTAATTAAACAATATTACGAATTCAATCGTTGACTAACAGCCTCAGTGACGAATTCCGCGAAGACCGTCCGGTCACAGCTATTGTGCCGGAAAACATTGATGCTGTGCGCGGCATAATTGAAGCTGGTCGACACGTTCCTTATCATGTGTATCATTGGATCATAAGGAGGCACGTGTCGATTGGTATTGCGCCACATTCAAATGATTCAACAGATGTAGCTCAAATGTACTATGTAGTAGGCAAATAATGAACGATGACACTTTACTTACAGTTTTTTAAATTAATCATTCACCGTGATGAAGATTACAGGAACTTTTTAATGAATTCCCCGATCGCTTCTCTCTATGTCACAAAAGTATATTTCTCTTAGTGTTTACTTAATCTATATAAAAACAAAGTAATAATTAGACTTCGACAAATATGCATATTGCATATTTTGCATATTGTGCATATTTTATGCAAATATTTCATATTTTGGCATATTTGTATAAAAGTTTGCATAAAGTGCATAAAAGTTCAGATTTTTATACTGTATTTGAAAATTTTTAAACATACCAATTTATTTCAATTCTTGTATAAAATTTTGTAGTCATTTTAATCAAGAAATGATCTAAGTACGTAATCTCTACAGGTACAAAACATTTACAATTTCAAAGAAGATCAATTTAAGTAGCCCTCAACATTCTTAGAAAGTCTCGGTCACTGAGGCATTCAGTTATTGGATAATCGCTAAGGGTTCGCTCATTTGCATTTTATGATCTAATCCCCAAATCTATCTACAATTTATTGTATCTTAACAGCAGGTAAACGGCTAATAGTTTTGTTCCTAATTTAGGGATTTTCCAAAATCTCCCAGTTTATTGAATTAGGTACCTAAACATTTCTAATTTGATGCTCAGATTTGTAAATCATTTTTGTTTTGATATTCAAAGCGTAAACACTCGTTGTGCGTAACAAAAAGGAAGATTGTGATTTTATAATGCCTAAAACAACCAGTGCTTCAACTTGGATTAAACCTTATAAAGAGCTGTCTATGGATATGGGAAAAATCTACTGTTCAGTCTGTGGCAAAATTGTAAGTATCTAATATTTTCTATTAAATATCTAATATTTCATACATACAGGGTGTTTCCAAATGACACTTACAACGTTTGACTGTAGATATTTCTCGAAAAATTGAACAAAACGATATAGTTAATGAGGGGTCAAACTTATTTACTTTTCGAGATACAGGGTGTTAAAATTAAAAAAAATTAAATTCTTTTAGTTAATAACAACAAGAACTTTAAAACCAATAAACGTATTTACTTGAAATTTAGTACTCGTAGGTTGTTTTTAAATGAAAAATAGCTTCCCTTAGTGAGAAAAAATTGTCCATGGTACAATACAATGGTGTGTATTTAGAAAAAATTTTCACCTTTACTTTTTTATATGAAGTCAGCTATTCTAAAACACAATTATTTTTATTGTAATTGAATTAACAAAAAAAAACTGTTGTTGAATTTTAAAATAAGTTATATGATGTACTAATGGTTAGTAACAAAAACTAATTTGTGGATTAATACTGCATTTAAAACACTTAGCGAGTGGTTTTTTTTTACCAAACCAGTTATTTGATTAACCAAAAACACCTTGTATATTTTTATATTTTAAAGGTTGGGTTAAAATAAAGGTTTTTATTTTTATTTATAGATAGCATGTGAGAAGAAATTTCAGATAGACCAACATGTGAGAACTGCTTCACACATTGCAAAAAAAAGGAAAAATAGGAGGAAAACATCAAACTTCAATGGCTAAATGTTTCCAATCTACTTCAAAAAAATTAGATGAGCAAGAAACTTTTAATGAAGACTTGTGTCGCGCATTAGTGTCTGCAAACATACCGCTTTCAAAATTAGCAAATGTAAATTTTAGTTCGTTTCTAAAAAAATATTGCAAACTTAATGTTCCAAGTGATCGGTCTCTAAGAAAAAATAATGTGAACGGGCTATACTCGTCGGTGTTAATTAATATTAAGGAAGAAATTGCAGATAATTATTTTTACATATCTGTAGACGAAACCACTGATTCCTCAGGAAAGTATATTGCTCATTTATTGATTGGTGTTCTTAAAGAAGATACCTTACCAAAATCTCATCTTATTTCATGCCAGCAACTTGAGAAAACAAATGCTTTAACAATTTCGCGTTTTATACAAGAAACAATAGCAACTTTTTTTCTTCCGACAACTATTCCTTCTAATAAATTACTGATTATTTTATCGGATGCTGCTCCTTATTTGGTGAAAGCAGGACAAAATTTAAAAATATTTTTCCCAGATTTAATACATGTTACTTGTGTAGCGCATGGATTAAACAGAGTTGCAGAGGAAATACGAAAAAAGTTTCCTCTTGTAAATACCATGATATCCAGTGTCAAAAAAGTATTTCTTAAATCTCCTATAAGAATTCAACTTTATAAATAAATGCTACCTAACATTCCTCTTCCACCACAACCTATTTTAACGCGATGCTACGCGATGGGGAACATGGTTAGAAGCAGCTAATTTTTATGCAGATCATTTTGTTAAAATAAAGAACATAATTGATACGTTAACAGATGAAAGTTCCCAATCTCTTTTGGATTCTAAACAAACTTTTTAGAATAACTTGCTTCAACAAGAACTTTCATTTATAAAATCAAATTTTAGTTTTGTTCAAAAAACAATTACTCAGTTAGAATCACCAAAACTGTCATTGTTCAAAAGTACAGCATTAATAAAAGAATTTGCGTCATGTTGTCGGAACGTTAGAGGTAATATTGGAAAAGATATTTAAAAAAAAATTGAAGCTACTATGGAAAAAATAAAGGTTACCATATTCTTTCTGAAGTAGTCAGTGTTCTAGCTGGAAATATTTCGGAAACAATTAATTTAGAACCAAATGTTTTGGTTAGTTTGAAAAATGCTCCCGTTACATCAGTTGATGTTGAACGAAGTTTTTCCATATATAAATATATGTACTCAGACAGAAGCCACAAGTTTTTGTTAGAAAATTTTGAACACCACTTGGTCATTTATTGTTACCATAATTCTAAATAAGTTTATTCATACTTAAAAATGATGTAGTTACTTAAAATAAATGTAAATCTTAATGAATAGTAGGAAATATTTAGTTATGTACACTTTTTTTTAATAAAATTGTTACTATTTTACGATTTTTTTATTTATTTGTATGCATATTTTGTAAAATATTTGCATATTTTCGGGTAAACACGTGCATATTTATGCGCATATTTTCTACATTTTTATTTGCATATTTGCCGAAGTCTAGTAATAATCCAACTTACCCAGTGTATTCGAGTGAGACAAACTGCAACAATGTGGGAGCACCAATACGCGGTCGAGTTGCAGGTGCAGTTACAAGACGAAATTCGTCTCCTATCAAATGTGACTGCAACATTGTGAATTCCTCTCGGACTTTGTAGAACGCTAGCCGATAAATGGAAACCTAAAAGTATATATAGTTTTTTAAAAGATATCTACAATATATTAAGCAAATCCGGAATATGCAAATGGTAGTGATAAATCATAATATTTTTCAAATGTTGGAAAAGTTGCCAATGTGAGTCCATAATACCCGTATATGGAAAATGGGTCGATACTCACAATATTAAGTAGTTTTTATTATTTAATGATTGTAAATTTTGGGCTACTGGTTTTAAGGCTTATTATATTTGCCTATATAAAGATGATCAATGCCAAGAGCTTGTTAGCCAAATCTCTGACGAGGTGGAAGAAGAACCTGATATACTCGAAAATGAAGTAAGACAGGCTATCAACAAGCTCAAATATAACAAAGCACCAGGTCCAGATATGATAACAGCAGAAATGCTTAAAGCCACAGAAGAAACCGGCGTAAAGTTACTTCATCTACTCTGTAACCAAATATGGCATTCCAAACAATGGCCTGAAGACTGGACAAAATCTACAATAACGACCATACATAAAAAAAGGCAGCTTCCATAAATGCGACAATTATAGAACTATCTCTCTTAAATCCCATGCCAGCAAGATAATGCTACATATAATCAAAGAGAGACTGAATACATTCCTCCAAAGAGAAATTCCACAAGGGCAAACTAGATTTACCAAAGGTAGAGGCACTCGAGAACACCTGCTGAATATAAGACAGATAATCGAGAAATCTAGGGAATTCAACATCCCACTATACATCTGTTTTATAGATTACCGTAAAGCCTTCGACAGGGTCAAGTGGAGACACTTATGGCGAATACTAAAAGAAGTAGGCGTACCACAACATCTCATTGCGCTTATAACTGAACTATATGAACACACTACTGGATCAGTTAAAGTACTTGACACACTTTCGAACGAGTTTCATCCAGAACGGGGTGTCAGACAAGGATGTATACTATCTCCACCATTATTCAACATATATGGGGAGTATATTATGCGAAGAGCACTTGAAGGATGGGAAAAGGGCATCTCAATAAATGGTCATAAACTAAACAACCTACGTTTCGCAGATGACACAGCCCTTCTTGCAAATAGTCAAGCAGAGCTGATGGAACTTATACGACTGATCGAAAACGAAAGTCAAATATTTGGTCTGCAATTAAACATATCAAAGACAAAGATCATGATAGTGGATAGACTACACAACAATCATCCACACATAACCACAATTGACCGGTTCGAGGTTGTGAGCTCATACTTATATCTGGGATCATTAATCACAAACACAGGGTCATTACAAGAAGAGATTAAACGTAGATGTGATCTAGCAAAAGTTGCCACAGCAAAAATGACCAAAATATGGAAGGACTGTCAAATTTCAAGAGCGATAAAGATGAGGTTGATAAACTGCTTACTATTCCCAATACTGACCTACGGATGTGAATCTTGGACTCTGAGACAATCGGAGAGAAAAAAGATAGACGCCACTGAAATGTTCTGTTGGAGACGAATGTTACGAATTCCTTGGACCGACCGTAGAACAAATAATTCAATTTTAAGAGAGCTAAAAGTTAGCCAACGACTCTCTAGTAAAGTCCATCTCCAACAATAAAAATATTTTGGCCATGTTATAGGAGCAAACACAGAAAACATGGAAAGACTCATAATACAAGGAAAGGTAGAAGGCCGAAGATCACGAGGAAGATCCCCAACAAGATGGATAGATCAAATTACAGGAATATGCCAAAGACCTATGCATGAATTAAAAGAAATGACCAGAGACAGAGATCTCTGGAGACGGACAATACACGACATCACGTCGACCACTACACTCCCCCTGGGGGGTCAGGATTGAAGAGAGATATTTGCCTCATCATCAGGTTCCAGTACGTTAGTTTATATTATTAAAAACTACAAGCTAAAACAACATAAAACAAACAATGAACAACTGAAACACAATAAAATGATACTAAATAATAGCAAATTAAACAAGCAGCTATAACATTAATTGAGGATGAAAAACAAAAAAAAAAACCATCTGGCTACATTAATATAAAAATAACTTATACATTCCGTGGTTGGAATGAATGGATTCCTTGAGGTGGAAGGTGGTTTTCAGGAGTACCTTAGTTTATAGAACTTTCCCATATATGATATTTAAGTAATAATTTTGGTTTATTCTCAGTATATTTAAATTTTAACATAATACCCGTGTAATATACCATATACTAATTACTGACTGACAATATGGTGCAGTTTCCATCAGATCGGTTACACCCAATGGCACTAACATCCCAATATAATATTTACTCAATCTCACTCTTAATTAATGTTAATAGCTGCTTGCTTAATTTACTATTCATCATCATCATCATCATCATGCAACCTCTTCTGTCCACTGCTGGATATGGGTATCTCCCATTTTTCGCCATTCTTCACGGTTCTGTGCATCTTGTTACCATTTCTTGGATATTCGTTTAATGTCGTCTATCCAGCGTGTTGGTGGTCCTCCTCTGCTGCGTTTGTCTGCTCTTGGGCGTCAGTCAAATAGTATTCTGGTCCATCTTGAGTCTTTTAGTCTCGCCATGTGACCTACCCAATTCCATTTCAGCTTGGCTATACGTTCGATGACATTAGTGATACCTGTTCTTTTCCTTAGGTCTTGGTTCCCTACTTTGTCTTTTTTTGTCACGCCGAGAATCGATCTTTCCATGCGCCTTTGTGCCACTCGCATTTTTAGTGCTGTTGTTTTTGTGAGAGTGTCTGCTCCATATGTTATAATAGGAAGAAAGCATTGGTCAAATGGCTTCCGTAGTTAAAATTCACAGGTCTGATTCTCCTTGCTCATTCTGATTTCATGACCGAGATATATGTACTTTTCTGTCAATTCTACCACTTTATTTTGAATGGTTAGGTGTTCGCTGGAAACCAAATTTGTCATAAATTTGGTCTTCTGATCTTCATTTTTAGACCTATTGTTGAAGATACGTTTTCTAATTCTTGTAGCATTCGTTGTGCTTCAGGCAGATCTTCGATAATAAGTACTATATCATCGGCAAAACGCAGATGATTGAGCATTTGTCCGTCTATTTTTATTTCTCTATATGCTCTATTCCTCTCTATCCTCTATATATCGTCATGTGGGGTGCCAAATCCTTTATGTGAAAAACGGTAACTTTTCAGGAGAGCAAAAATACTGTTTTATTTTTATTCTACTACTCCTATGAAAAAAATTTTAATGCCGAAAATTAAATTATATATTTTTGCATATATCCAATGTAAATTTTTTACATATAAACAAAAAACTAAGGCACCAGAATTTTTTTTTCTCAAAATCTGCACATAACGGATTTTTTCGGTATTATAAGTCTCCTGTATGTGATAGTACGCACATGAAGGATTTGCACGTAGCTAAATTTACCGCTAAACTTGACCACTATGTGTTAAAATCTACAAGAAAATTGCCTCAGATTAATTATAAAAAAGACTACACAATGTTTTCATAGCAAAAATTTAATCAGAACCAATTCCGAGATCAAAATCTTTATAAATAAAATCACTTAACGATAAAAATACTTATCTCCAGTTACACACAAAGCAGACACTATCAGTTTGGTATAAGAATTTAAAGGTGAGTTAGACTGTCGTAGAAACCATGATAGTCAGAGTGCAGGTATTGCTTCAATGATTGGAGATTCTTGAATTTTGTACCTTCGATTTTCCGAGCTTCAGTATACAGAGATTTGAAGCTATTACTGTTTACTCGCACACGCTGAGGAAGTTTCTGCCAGTCATCTGGCTGACGTAGTTTATAATATATTTCACCATCTGTGTAATGCAAAGCTCTGATGTCATTCACGGTAGGGTCGTCTCCAGCTTTTTTTCCCGGCTTGATAGAATCATAATTGCAAATCTTCTCATAGTCTTTGAAAAACGTGTAGTCCAAATAATGCACATTATATGGTTGTCTTGGTCTGGCCTCGGTCATTTTAGTTACATAGTCGACAGGAGCATAAATTGGTGGCCTGAATTTCTTCTCTAGCGTAGAATGTATAGTGTCGACGTCTATCATTGTGTGTCCTTTTTCGAGTATTATTTGCTCTATTTCGGCATTTTGGGTCTTCGAGAGGTTTGCCAAAGCAGACGCCAAGACTTTGTTCCCGTTTTGGTAGGAACATCCGTCTGAAATTAATATGAACTTTTTATATGCCGTTTGCTTTTTTAAGAAATCTACGATGCAGCTTGTGAATTCATTGGACGTCACTCCACCATTCGCCTCATGCCATACGTATAGGTGTACATCTTGTGTGTTGTTTAAGTATATAGAAAAATTGTGCAGTTGCAATTTCTGCTTGTAGTATTGAAAAGAAACTAATATTTTTGGACACAGTAGGACGCTTTGTACATCCATAGTAATAACCAATACGTCTGAAAAGAAGCTTAGACCGTCTGATTTAGCAATCATAGCTTCATTCTTTTTCAGAATGTGAAGTTTGTAATCTTCTTCGGATGTATGTCGTTCTTTGTAGGGAACACACACATCGCACTGGTCTTTCCGAGGTTTAAAGATGGAAACCTTTTCTGATTCTAATACCATGTAGAAGACCCTTTTGCTAGCTTTTGGTTTCGTGTTGTCTTGACACCAAATAAGATAGATCCTGTGCATGTGAGCCTTACTCTCGAAGGTATCTTCAACGTACATCCTGTTAGTGTATGCCCGACAGTAGTGACTGCTTACTTTTGGTAATAAATTTAACTATTCCTTAACAGATATGTCGTTCTTTGTAGGGAACACACACATCGCACTGGTCTTTCCGAGGTTTGAAGATGGAAACCTTTTCTGATTCTAATACCATGTAGAAGACCCTTTTGCTAGCTTTTGGTTTCGTGTTGTCTTGACACCAAATAAGATAGATCCTGTGCATGTGAGCCTTACTCTCGAAGGTATCTTCAACGTACATCCTGTTAGTGTATGCCCGACAGTAGTGACTGCTTACTTTTGGTAATAAATTTAACTATTCCTTAACAGAT